CCTGTACCCCCAGACCAGCCTGTCCCAGACCAGCCTGTACCCCCAGACCAGCCTGTGCTCCCAGACCAGCCTATACCCCAGACCAGCCTGTGCCCCAGACCAGCCTGTACCTCCACACCAGCCTGTACCCCAGACCAGCCTGTGCCCCAGACCAGCCTGTACCCCCAGACCAGCCTGTACCCCAGACCAGCCTGTACCTCCACACCAGCCTGTACCCCCAGACAAGCCTGTACCCACGGACCAGCCTGTAGCCACAGACCAGCCTGTACCCCCGGACCAGCCTGTACCCCCAGACCAGCCTGTGCCCCAGACCAGCCTGTACCCCCAGACCAGCCTGTGCCCAGAACACCCTGTGACTCCCGCAGCCTGGGCACAGCCTGTGATCCCAGACACCGTGTCCCCGGGCCAGCCTGTCCCCCCAGAGCCGGGGAAGCCATGCCTCCGCACGTGGCCTCGGCCGACACCAGCCAGCGGCTCCTCATAGCCGGCGCCCTCGGCAGCCTGCGTTCCCCAGAACACCCACACGGGACAGCCTGTGCCCTGTGCACGTGCCCACACACTGCCTGTGCCCCTGGAGGCTGGGCGCCCGTGTCAGCTCGCTCTTCCCACCCCAGGCAGCTGCCCCACCCCGCGGGCCTGGGGGCAGACAGCCTGGACCCCACAGAATCATGCCTGCTCCCACTTAGACCAGCCTGTACCCCCAGACCAGCCTGTACCCCAGACCAGCCTGTACCCCTAGACCAGCTTGTACCCCCAGACCAGCCTGTACCCCCAGACCACCCTGTACCTACAGACCAGCCTGTACCCCTAGACCAGCTTGTACCCCCAGACCAGCCTGTACCCCAGACCAGCCTGTACCTCCAGACCACCCTGTACCCCTAGACCAGCTTGTACCCCCCAGACTAGCCTGTACCCCAGACCAGCCTATACCCCTAGACCAGCCTGTACCCCCAGACCAGCCTGTACCCCAGACCAGCCTATACCCCTAGACCAGCTTGTACCCCCAGACCACCCTGTACCCCTAGACCAGCCTGTACCCCTAGACCAGCCTGTACCCCCAGACCACCCTGTACCCCTAGACCAGCCTGTTCCCCTAGACCAGCCTGTACCCCCAGACCAGCCTGTACCCCCAGACCAGCCACTGATTCCCCCAAACGGAGCTCTCACCTCATGTCTCCCAACCCCCCAGTCACTCCACTTCCCAGGAAGTGTTACCTTCACTGTCCTGAGATGTCCCCTCCCCCACCTACTGCGCATCATGGGGTCCCCTCCCATCTCTGTGTTGATTTTTATAGCAATGCCTATCTTTTAAAATACATATACATATTTTGCCCTAACCGGTTTGGCTCATTGAATAGAGTGTCGGCCTGTGGACTGAGGGGTCCCAGGTTCGATTCTGGTCAAGGGCATGTACCTTGGTTGCAGGCACATCCCCAGTGGGGGGTTTGGTGGGGGGAGAGCAGCTGATTGATGTTTCTAATTCTCTCTATCCCTCTCCCTTACTCTCTTTAAAAAAATCAATAATATACATATATATATATTTAAAACGACATATACATATTTTATGGATTTCAGAGAGGAAGGGAGAGGGACAGAGAGAAACATCAATGATGAGAGAGAATCATTGATTGGCTGCCTCTTGCAGACTCCCTAACTGGGGATCAAGCCTGCAACCCGGGCATGTGCCCGTGACCTCCTGGTTCAACCATTGAACCATACTGGCAGGGCACATCCCTCTTTTTTCAAAACAATTTTTAAAAAATTTATTGATTTTCACCCTACCCTGTTTGGCTCAGTGGATAGAGCGTCAGCCTGCGAACTGAAGGGTCCCGGGTTCGATTCTGGTCAAGGGCACATGCCTAGGTTGCAGGCTCGATCCCCAGTAGGGGGCTTGCAGGAGGCAGCTGATCCATGATTCTCTCTCATCATGGATGTTTCTCCCCTTCTCCCTACCTCTATGACATCAATTAAAAAAATATTTTAATTTATTGATTTTTCTTTTCCAAATGGGATGTGCCATATCCTTTGGGGTCAGAGACAAGATGTCTTAGATGGTTAGGGACCAGGGTGCCAGACACCTCACACTGTCCGGGAACAAGGTACCATACGGGCTAGACGAGACAACCTAGCCTTCTTCCCCTCCCCCCCCCCCGTGCCCCCCACCCCTGCGTGGGTGTGACCCTGCCCCCCCATGGATGGCTACAATAGGTCCTAACTGAACCGTGAGGACCAACATTGCTCCCAATGGGACAGCTCACGACCCCTTCTCCCCTCAGGCCCTGGGGGGGGGTGTCCCACTTTCCCTGACTCAGTTTACCCCTCCTCGTGTTTCTCTCCTGTAGAATGGGGGTGATTGGTGGTCTCACGCCCAGGGTTGCCCTGTGGATTCATGAGTTAGTGCATGTCGAGTACCCAGCACTGTCAGCCCTTCTTCCCTCCGGACTCCCCCCACTCCCTCTCCCCTCCCGTTCTGTGCCCCAGTTTCCCCAACTGTAGGATAAGCAAGTTGGAGTAGCCGAAACCAGTTTGGCTCAATGGAAAGAGCGTTGGCCTGCAGACTGAGAGGTCCCAGGTTCCATTCCGGTCAAGGGCATGTACCTTGATTGCGGGCACAACATCCCCAGTGGGGGGTGTGCAGGAGGCAGCTGATCGATGATTCTCTCTCATCGATGTTTCTAGCTCCCTATCCCTCTCTCTTCCTCTCTGTAAAAAATCAATAAGATATATTTTAAAAAAGTGAATTCTGCAGGAAGCTCTGGCTTCCAAGCGCAGCTCGGATAGTGGGTTTGCTTGTTTGTAAAGTTTAGGGTTCTGGGCAGCGTTGGATGGCTCATGCTCGCAGGGGATGTCACAAAGTCATCATCAGCCTTTGCAAGATCCTTCTTGCGCTCTAGTTAGCGTTATTCTTATTTCATTTCTTCTTGACTCAGCCCCTAATGTGTGTGGTTTTTTAAAAACTATTGATGGATTTTGAGAGAGAGAGAGAGGTGGGGGGAGAGATTCGTTGTTCCACTTATAGATGCATTCATTGGTTGATTCGTGTGTTTTGTGCCCGGACTGAGAATCAAACCTGCAACCTTCGTGTATCTGGTTCAGTGGTCAGCAAACTCATGAGTCCACAGAGCCAAATATCAACAGGACAGCGACTGAAATTTCTTTGGAGAGCCACATTTTTTAAACTTAAGCTTCTTCTAACGCCACTTCTTCAAAATAGACTTGCCCAGGCCATGGTATTTTGTGGAAGAGCCACCCTCCAGGGGCCAAAGAGCAGCATGTGGCTTGCGAGCTGCAGTTTGCCGACCATGAATCTGGACAATGCTCTAACCAGCTGAGCTACCAGGCCAGGGTCCAAGTTTTTAAAAAATATATATATTTTATTGATTTTTTATAGAGAAGAAGAGAAAGAGGGATAGAAAGTTAGAAACATCGATGAGAGAGAATCATCGACCAGCTGCCTCCTGCACACCCCCTACTGGGGATGTGCCCGCAACCAAGGTACATGCCCTTGACCGGAATAGAACCTGGGACCTTTCAGTCTGCAGGCTGACGCTCTATCCACTGAGCCAAACCAGTTTCGGCTGGGTCCCAGTTTTTATTTTTATTTCTCAAATCTCTGTAGGTTGCTTTCTGTTAGTCTTCAGACTCCCTGTTACTGCAAACATATATGTACCTGCACATGGTTTTTTGTCTGTAGGTATTCCTGGAAGGAAAACAGATGGTTATAGGGTAGAAATGTACTTCATTTCATAAAATCTGTCAGAGTCTGTCTTCCGGAAAGACCAGCCCGGGCACCCCTGGGAGACAGCAAAGGTTGAGTGCCAGACCACTGCCAGAGCCAGTCCCACACACATAACACGTAGGCTGGCCTGGCTGGGTAGCTTCATTGGTTCGAGAATTGCCCCTATACAGCAAGGTTGTGGGTTTGATCCCCCGTCAGGACATATACAAGAATCAACCAATGAATGCATAAATAAGTGGAATAACATATCGATGTCTCTCTCTCTCTCTTCCTAAAATCAATTTTTAAAAGGCTCCATATTGGAATCCCAGCTCTGAATTAATTGTGTGGCAACAGGTGGCTTTTTCTGTGCATCATTTTTCTCCTCTGCCATATTTTTTTTTTTTAAATTTGTATATATATATATTATTGACTTTTTTACAGAGAGGAAGAGAGAGGGATAGGGAGTTAGAAACATCGATGAGAGAGAAACATCGATCAGCTGCTTCTTGCACACCCCCCACTGGGGATGTGCCCGCAACCAAGGTACATGCCCTTGCCCAGAATCGAACCTGGAACCTTTCAGTCCGCAGGCCGACGCTCTATCCACTGAGCCAAACCGGTCTCGGCTTAATATATATTTTCATTGATTTCAGAGAGCAAAAGAAAGTGAGAGAGAGAGAGAGAGAGAGAGAGAGAGAGAGAGAGAGAGAGAGAGAGACATCAGTGATGAGAATCATCGATCAGTTGCCTCGTGCATGCCCCCTACTGGGGAATGGAACCCACAATCTGGGCATGTGCCCTTGATGGGACTTGAACCCCGAACACTTCAGTCCACAGGCCGGCGCTCTCCACTGGGCCACACCGGCCAGGGTTCTTCTGCCATATTTTTATCAGGGATGCTCCTCTCATGTTCTCCGGCTACTGTGAGCTAGGCATACTATCCAGCCCCGAACGTACATGAGGGTCCCCCCTCCCCCCATCCCCCTCCCCCGCATCACCTCCCTCATTTCTCTCTCCCCCTCCTCCCACAGAAACCAACTGCACCTACTTCAAGTTCTTCACCACGGGGGAGAACGCACACATCTTCCACAGAACCACAAAGAAAGGTGAGAGGCTGTGGCCCCGCGGTGGGGGTCGGGAGTGGGGGTGGGGGTGAGCGCGTTGGAGGGGTTTCGGCAGGCTTGGGCTCAGCTCCTGGGAATGTCCGGGGAGGTCCCACTTTGGGGGCAGTGGTGGCAGGAGGGTCCTGGGTCTGCAGGGCCCTGTGCCCGACACTCCTACCCGGCTCTGCCTTTGCCAGGTGCTGTGCAACTCTGGGCAAGTCACAGCCCCTCTCTGTACTTTATTTTTATTTTTTACTTTATTTTTTAAAAATATATTTTATTGATTTTTTACAGAGAGGAAGGGAGAGGGATAGAGAGTTAGAAATATCGATGAGAGAGAATCATTGACCAGCTGCCTCCTGCACACCCCCTTCTGGGGATGTGCCCGCAACCAAGGTACATGCCCTTGACTGGAATCAAACCCGGGACCCTTCTGTCTGCAGGCTGATGCTCTATCCACTGTCCCAAACCAGTTTCGGCTGGTACTTTATTTTTAACTCCCAACATATTTTTATTGATGTCAGAGAGGAAGGGAGAGGGAGAGAGAGAGAGAGAGAGAGAGAGAGAGAGAGAGAGAGAGAGAGAGAGAGAGAAACATTCTGTATAATAAAAGGGTAACATGCAAATAGACCAAAGGGCAGAACAACCGAACAACCAATCAAAGTGTACTATGCTAATGATATGCTAAGGCTGCTCCACCGCTCACTGTGACGTGCCCTGACCACCAGGGGGCAGATAGTCCACTGGTCAACCTGTCACTATGACGTGCACTGTCCACCAGGGGGTAGATGCTCCTACCGGTAGGTCAGCTTGCTGCTGGGGTCTGGCCAATCAAGACTGAGCGAGATGGACCAGACACCACATGGAGCCTTGGTTCCTCCCTGGCCCAATCATGGATGTGCGTGAGGGGTGCACCTGGCAGATGCAACCAAAGGACATGCCCTTTACTGGAATCGAACCTGGCACCTTTCAATCCACAGGCAGACGCTCTATCCACTGAGCCACACCGGTTAGGGCTTCTACGAGCACATTCTCCTCCCCTCCCGAATCTCCCATTTCCCTGGCTCTGGCTCCCTGAGGGGGAGCTCACCCACTCTCTGCAACCCGTGTTCTTCCTCCCCTCCCCCCACACCCGCGCAGAGATGAATCTGGCCGCCGCGGTGATAGCGGTTCTCGGCTTGACGGTCATGGCGCTGGGGTGCCTCTGCATCATCATGGTGCTCAGCAAAGGCGCAGAGTTCCTGGTCCGCGTGGGCGCTATCTGCTTTGGCCTCTCAGGTGAGGGCCTGGCCCGAGCCTGCAGACTGAGGACACTGCATGCTGGGAGGTGGGGGCATCCCCAAGCACTGTTGCCTGCTGGGACGTGGGAATCTCTAAGCCCCATTGCATGCTGGGAGGTATGGTCTACAAGAACTCTGCATGCTGGCAGGTAAGATCTCCAAGCACTGTTGCACGATGGCAAGTGGGATCTCTAAGGACAGTTGCATGCTGGGTTGCATAATGGGAGGTAAGATCTCTGAGAACTGTTGAAGACTGGGAGGCAGGGTCCCCAAGCACTGTTGCATTTTGGGAAGTTGAGAGGTCTCCAAGCACTGTTGCATGCTGGGAGGTTGAGAGGTCTCCAAGCACTGTTGCATGCTGGGAGGTTGAGAGGTCTCCAAGCACTGTTGCCTGAGGGGAGGCACAAGGGCTGGTAGTAGGCTCAGCTACGAGAGCTCTAAGCCCCGTTGTTGGCTCAGAATTGGAGAGTCTCCCAGCACTCTGGTGTGTGAGGCTGTGAAGAGGGCTGACTATAGGGTGAGTGAAGATGAGTTGACTTTGTGGGGTGATACAGATCTTGTGACATGGAAGTCCACACCTGAAACCTACATGATCCTATTAAACAAGGACACCCCGATCTTACCTAATAATAGACAAACATGTAAAATTTAGGAGAGGGAGGTAAAAAACAAAACAAAACAAAACAAAAACATGTAAATTGACCATACCTCCACTATGTCCACAGCCAATCAGAGTGAGTATGCAAATTAACCCAACAAAGATGGCAGGTTAATTTGCATATGTGGGTGTGGAGCAGTCTGGAGGGGTGGGACACCTGCTATGAAGGAGGGGAGGGGGCCAGCTGAGAGAGCTATAGGAGTGGTGCTCTGGCCAGAAGCAAGGACTTGCCGGCTCCCGAGTGGGCTGGGAGTGAAGCTGGGGGAAGGAAGGCCTATTCTTGCACGAATATCATACAACAGGCCTCTAGTAAATTTAATAATTAAAAAAAAAAGATTTGGACCTTGGGTGGCTTGACAGCAGAAATGCATTTTCTCTCAGCCCTGGAGGCTGGAAGTCCAGGTTCCCAGGGTCAGCAGGGCTGGGCCTCCTGAGGCCCCTCTCCTCAGCCTGCACACGGCCCTTTTCTCCTCGTGTCCTCACGAGGTTGTCCCTGTGCCTGTCTGTGCCCTCATCTCTCCTTGTAGAGGCAGCAGCCGCCCTGGATTGGAGCCCACTCTAATGACCTCATTTTAACTTATATCTTTTTTAAAAATATATATTTTATTGATTTTTTACAGAGAGGAAAGGAGAAGGATAAAGAGTGAGAATCATCGATGAGAGAGAATCATCGATGAGAGAGAATCATCGATCAGCTGCCTCTTGCACACCCCCCCCCCACTGGGGATGTGCCTGCAACCCAGGTATATGCCCTTGACTAGAATCGAACCTGGGACCTTTTAGTCCCCAGGCTGGCACTCTATCCACTGAGCCACACCGGTTTCAGCTTAACTTATATCTTTAAAGGCCCCTGCTGGGAGATGGGAGCCCACAACTAGAGGATGTGGCTCAGCCCACCACTGTACACTTACCTCGTTCTTGTTCATTTCTCCTTCCAGGGGGAAGCCTCTGTTAGTCTCCTGTCTATCCTATCTAATAAAAGAGTAATATGCAGATTGACCATCACTCCAACACACAAAATGGCTGCTCCCATGTAGTCAAAGATGGTCGCCCCCATTGGACACAAGATGGCCACCATAAAATGGCCAGCAGGGGAGGGCAGTTAGGGCTGACCAGGTCGACAGAGGAGGAAAGTTGGGGGCGACTGGGCCTGTAGGGAAAGGCAGTTGGGGGGGACCCAGGCCTGCAGGGGAGGGCAGTTAGGGGTGACCAGGCCTGCAGGGGAAGGCAGTTAGGGGTGACCAGGCCTGCAGGGGAGCACAGTTAGGGGCAATCAGGCTGGCAGGGGAGCAATTATGCATCAATCAGGCTGGCAGACAGAAGTGGTTAGGGGCAATCAGGAAGGCAGGCAGGTGAGCAGTTGGGAGCCAGCAGTCCTGGATTGTGAGAGGGGTCTCAGATTGGACTCCCGTGCATGAATTTCGTGCACTGGGCCTCTAGTATTTCATAATGAGAGCTCCGTTAGGATCTGTCGAATGAAGGAAAGGTGCAGGAACTAGCAAAGGTGTGGAGGGGACTGGCAGTGTCTCCTCTTCGTCCAGATGCTTTTCCACCTTCAAGGCCCTCATGCTGAACTGCCCAGAGGCTCAGGGGGTCACTGAACCATGGTGCACAGACTCAAGCCTGCATGCTCCAGGCCCCTGATTCAAAGCCATGGAGAACCCTGGCAGGTGTGGTTCAGTGGATAGACTGTCGGCCTTTGGACTGAAGGGTCCCAGGTTCAATTCCGATCAAGGGCACATGCCCAGGTTGTGGGCTTGATCCCCAGTGGAAGGAGAGGGGGGAGAGGGACATGCAGGAGGCAGCCGATTAATGATTCTCTGGAATCATTGATGTTTCTCTCCCTTTCTCTCTCCCCCATCCTTCCTCTTTGAAATCAATAAAAATATATTTAAAAACAAAACGAAAATATGGGGGAAACTGGGAGAAGCAGAGGACCAAGAGGAAGGAGGATCAGGGACTGAGGTTGGGGCCAGGCTCCAGGATCTGAGAGGGGAGGCATCTGGGATCCATGACCATAGATGACCAACCGATGGTCCTAAGTGGCCCTAGCCGGTGTAGCCCAGTGGATAGAATGTCGGCCTGCAGACTGAAGGATCCTTGATTCTGGTCAAGGGCACATGCCCGTGTTGTGGGCTCCATCCCCAGTGGGGGGCATGCAGGAGGCAGCCGATCAATGATTCTCTCATATCATGGACGTTTCTCTCTCTCTCTCCCTCTCCCTTTCTGACATCAATAGAAATATATATTTTTAAAAATGGCCCTAAGTGATCTGACCCCTTCCCACCTCTGCATGCCCATCGCCCACCACTCTCCTCCTCCCCACTCTCTTTGTTGTGGTCGCACTGACCTCCTCTCTTTTCCTCAGACTCCCTCTACCCCATCCTACCCTAGGCCCTCGCCCCGGCCGCTCCTCCTGCTCAGAAAAGCCCTGGCTTCATTTCACGCGTGGCTGGCCGCCTTCCTGTCATCCCTCATTCGCGTCTCAGCCGAGATGGATGCCTTTTTCTGACCGACACTATTTAAAGTCTTTGCTCCTCCCCCTGGCTGTCACTCCCCTTCCCATCACCCTGCTTTCAGCATGCCTTCCCAGCATGCCTCACTCTCTGAAATTATCTTGACTCCATGTGTGTTTACTCTGGAGGCTGCGGTGTGGCAGCTGGCAGGCCGGGGACGGCCTGTGATTTTCCTTTGATTGGTGGGAAGTGCGCAAAGATTTCTCGCAGCCGCAGCCGGTAGCTCAGGGTTGGGTGAATTCCCATCAGAGCCATCATCATCATTTAGAAATTATCTCTCACCCTGGCTGGTGTTTCTCTCTTTCCGCGTCCAGCAGGGAAAAAAGTAGAGGAGCTGGGGATTGAGAAATAAAAGAAAGGAAGAGACCAGACAGGAAGATAGAAGGAAAAAGCTGGGAGCCGGGTGGGACCGCCATCCTCTCGATGGAGGGACAGGGACCCAGAGCTAAGGCACTGTGTTTATTTATATTCCCCAAGTACCAGGAAGTCCCACCGAAAAGTTAGGATCAAAGGAGATTATTTGCATTCTTCAGTAAGCCTGAGCATTCCTGGTGCCTGACTAGATTTGCATATCAAAGTCACACTCCCCCCAACACCTGGGCTGCAATGAAGGCCAAGCTGATAACACTCTTGCCCTTTTGGCAAAGTGTGTTCCCAGGGTGTGGCTCTGCCTTGGTTTCAAGAAATGCCCACTGCCTTCCCAGGGGGCCCTCTACAGTGTTGACCTGGGCACTGGGAGGTTGGTGTTTTGATCCCTGGCCAGGGCACATGCCTGGGGTGCAGGCTGGATTCCCAGTCAGGAGCACACAGGAGGCGGCTGATAGGTGAGGGGCTGCAGGGGGCAGAAGCTGGGTTTCCGTCGCCCTGTCACTGTTCCCACCACACCTGCCTGCTGCATTGTCTATGCACGTGCTCACTGGCTCCCGCAAGCATTGTTCACTATACCTGTCTCCTAGACTCTAAGCCCCAGGAGGTCAGGGTCTTTGTCATGTTCCTTTTCTCACCTTTTCTTTCTTTTTTAAAAATATATTTTATTGATTTTTTAGAGAGAGGGATAGAGAGCTAGAAACATCGATGAGAGAGAAACATCGACCAGCTGCCTCTTGCACACCCACCGGGGATGTGCCCGCAACCAATGTACATGCCCCTGACCGGAATCGAACCCAGGACCTTTCAGTCCGCAGACCAACGCTCTACCACTGAGCCAAACCGGTTTCGGCTCCACCTTTTCTTTTTAAGATAAAATTGCCTTGCACCTTGACTGCCTTTCTTTTCATTTTGTGATCCACTGTCACTATTTTTTTTTTTTTTTATCCTCACCAGAGGATATTTTCCCACTGGTTTTAAGAGAGAGTCGAAATGAGAGGGAAAAATAGAGAGAAACATGGATGGGGGACAAACACATTGATGGGTTGCTTCTTGCAGAAGCCCCAACCAGGGCTCAGGCTGGGGAGGAGCTTGCAACCAAGGCATGTGCCCTTGACCGGAATCGAACCTGGGACCCTTCAGTCAGAAAGCCGTCGCTCTATCCACTGAGTCAAACCGGCCAGGGTGACCATCACTGCTTTTTTCAACTTTACTGAGAAAAAGAGAGAGAGAGGGGAAAAAAAGAGAGAGAGACAGAGGGAGAAAGGAAGGGAGAGGGAGGGAAGGAGGGAGAAGATTGAAATTTCTTTAAAAAAAAATATTCCTTTGTTGATTTCACAGAGGAAGGAAGAGGGAGAAAGAGTAGAAACATCAATGATGAGAGAGAATCATCAATGGGCTGCCTCCAGCACACCACCTACTGGGGATCAAGCCCACAACCAAGGCACGTGCCCTTGACCGGAATCGAACCTGGGACCCCCCAGTCTGCAGGTCGACGCTCTATGTACCGAGCCACACAGTCTCGGCGGGTTTCTCGTTGGAGGAGCCTGGGACGGGGTGCATGGAGGAGACACGGAGACCGAAGCTGGGGTCCCCCGGCGCCTGAGCACCCTGTCTCTCCTCTCCCCGCAGGCCTGCTGCTCCTGGTCAGCCTGGAGGTGTTCCGGCATTCCGTGCGGGCCCTGGTCCAGAGGGTCAGCCCCGAGCCACCGCCTGCCCCGGCCCTCACCTACGAGTACTCCTGGTCCCTGGGCTGCTGCGTGGGGGCCAGCCTGATCCTGCTGCTCGGCGGCGGCTGCTTCCTGCTGCTCACTCTGCCGCCCTGGCCCTGGGGCTCCCTCTGCCCCAAGCCGGGGCCCCGGGCCCCCTAGGGGCACCCCCGCGCCTTCTCACAGCTCCTTGCAAACCCTCCGTGACCCTCTGTCCCCTCAGAATCTTGTTATTGTGAATCCTCACCCGGGGACCTTTCTCCACGGACCCCTAGAGAGAGAGGGGAAGGGGGAGGGAGAGGCAGAGCGAAACATCGATGTGAGAGAGAGGGACGCACGTTGATGGGTTGCCTCCTGCATGTACCCCGACCAGGGCCCCAGGGCCCCAGGGCCGGGGAGGAGCCTGCAACTGAGGGACATGCCCTGTGTCCCTGACTGAATCGAACCCTGGACCCTTCGGTCCTCGAGCTGATGCTCTACCCGCTGAGCCGCCCCGGCCAGGGCCCCTCAGCATCTTGTGTTCACCCCCCACGTCCTGGAGAAGCCGTTCTCCCAGCTCCCGGGGTCCAGGCTGCCTGCACAGGCCCGCCCCGTGCCCTCCTCGCCTTTGCCTCTGTACATACACGTTCCTCCGGGGCTGCGCCTGGGCCGCTTGGGGGTGGGGAGGGGAGGGAGAGGCTTTTTGCAAACGAGGGTCCCCAGGGGAGGTTGGTGGGGACCTGATGGGGTCACTAGGGATGGGGGTGGGGGGGAGAGGAGGTCAGGGGGTGCGGGGAGGGACCGGGACCCATTCATGTCTGGCATCTGGAGGCAGCCACGTGCGGGGGGAGCCTTCTTCTGACGAATCCAAAATCTGGAGACATGGGGCAGGGGTGGGGTCTGATTTGGGATTAAAGGTTTGGGAATGGAACCGCTTTGAGTGGGAGTCCGTTTGTGGTGGGGTCTGGGGCATCTGGGGTCGGAGAGAAGGGGTGCTTCTGCCCCCCCCAGAAACACGCTACGAGCTGCTGGTCAGTCCTGAAGCCACGTGTCCGTGGACCCAGCGAGACCGACGGGAAATTCTACACTGAGGACACCGACGTTGCTGTGGGCTGGATGTGTCCTTTCCAAGTGTGGGGTCCTCACCCCCTGCACCTCAGAATGGGATCTTGTTTGCTTTTTAAATATTTATTGATTTCAGAGAGGAAGGGAGAGGGAGAGAGAGATAGAGACATCCATGGTGAGAGAGAATCATGGACCGGCTGCCTCCTGCACGCCCCCCACTGGGAATGGAGCCTAAAACCCAGGCCTGTGCCCTGACCAGGAATTGAACCGTGACCGCCTGGTTCATAGGTCGACGCTCAATCACTTAGCCATGCCAGATGGGCTGTTTATTTTTAAATTTTTTATTTGTTGACTTTAGAGAGGGAGAGAAAGGGAGAGAAAGAGAGAGATTTGTTCCACTTATTTATGCATTCATTGGTTGATTTAAAAATATTTTAAAAAATTGATTTCAGAGAGAAAGGGAAAGGGAGAAAGAGATTAAAACATCCATGATCAAAGAGAATCCTTGATCAGCTGCTTTCTTCATGCCCCTCCTGGGGATTGAGCCCACAACTCTTGTGTCCTTGTGTCCAAGTCATGTGTCCTTGACTGGACTCGAACCTGGGACCCTTCAGTCTGCAGGCTGATGCTCTACCCACTGAGCCACAACAGCCAGGGTGTTGGTTGATTCTTGTGTGTGCCCTGACCAGGGATGGAACCTTCAACCTTTGTGTATCTGGACGATGCTCTAACCCAGTGGTCGGCAAACTCATTAGCCCACAGAGCCAAATATCAGCAGGACAACGATGGAAATTTCTTTTGAGAAACACATTTTTTAAGCTTAAACTTCTTTTTTTTAAAATATATTTTATTGATTTTTTCAGAGAGGAGGAGAGAGGGATAGAGAGCTAGAAATGTCGATGAAAGAGAAACATCGACCAGCTGCCTCCTGCACCCCCCCCACCGGGGATGTGCCCGCAACCAAGGTACATGCCCTTGACCAGAATCGAACCTGGGACCCTTCAGTCCGCAGACCAAGGCTCTATCCACTGAGCCAAACCGGTTTCGGCTTAAACTTCTTCTCATGCCACTTCTTCAAAATAGACTCGCCCAGGCTGTGGTCTTTTGTGGAAGAGCCGCCCTCAGGGGCCAAAGAGCTGCACGTGGCTCGGGAGCCGCAGTTTGCTGACCACGGAGTCTAGCGTCTCTAGAGGAACACAGACGGCACTTCCCGGAAATGGGATGCTGCCATCACAAGTAGCTAAGCCTCGTGGACACGCCCTGGGTGATGTTGCTCAGTGGTCAGAGCACCGGCCCACAACCAAATATCCTATCCTATTACATAGGATATTACGTAGATATGATCACATTTTATATTACAGGTATTATCACACCCCCTACTGGGGATGTGCCCGCAACCAAGGTACATGCCCTTGACCGGAATCGAACCTGGGATCCCAACCCAAGGGTCATGGGTCCGATTCCTGGTCAAGGGCACATACCTGGGTTGCAGGTTCAATCCCCACCCTGGTTGGGGGGCACGTGCAGGAGGCAATCAATGGATGTGTCTCTCTCACATCGGTGCTTCTCTCTCTGTCTCTCTCTGTCTCTGTCTCTCTCTCTCCACCCCCCTCCCTTGCTTCCATTCTCTCTACAAATCAATGGAAAGAATATCCTCAGGTGAGGATGAAAATAAAAACTCGGACACAGCCCTGACCAGTTTGGCTCAGTGGATAAGGCGTCGGCCTGCAGACTGAAGGGTTCTGGGTTCGATTCTTGTCAAGGCCATGTATATTGGTTGTGGGCACATCCCCAGTGGGGTTGTGCAGGAGGCAGCTGATCGGTGTTTCTCTCATCGACGTTTCTAGCTCTCTATCCCTCTCCCTTCCTCTCTGTAAAAAAAATCAATAAAAAATATTTTAAAAAATAAATAAAAGTAAAGACGCGGACACGGCTTTGGGTTGGGGAGGAGGCGGGGCAGCCGGAGCTGTGAGGCGCAGGATAGGAAAAGCCCGGAGTGCCTTGCGGAGACTGTCGGTGGGAAAACGGGTGAGGAAGCCAGCGCTGGGGCTGGGAGGACTCGGAGGCGAGCAGGGAGGGCTGAGGGAGCGTCTGTCGCCTCTGGGAACACGCCGGGTGTGAACAGAATGTGACAGAGGCAGGAATAACACCACCGGCACCGGCAGTCCCCGCGAGTGAAGAGCCGGGCCAGGTGTTGGAGTCCCCCCCCTCCACCCCCAATCCCCGAATATGGTCACGTTCTAGCCTGGCCGGGTGGCGCAGGTGGTTAGCGCATCATCCTGATACACGAAGGTTGAGGGTTCCACCCCTGGTCAGGGCGGGCACACACAAGAATCAACCAAGGGCCTGGCTGGTGTGGCTCAGTGGGTAGAGCGTCCGCCTGCGGACTGAAGGGACCCGGGTTCGATTCCGGTCAAGGGCACACGCCTGAGTTGTGGGCTTGGTCCCCAGGAGGGGGAGTGCAGGAGGCAGCCGGTCCATGATTCTCTCTCATCATGGATGTTTCTGTCTCTCTCTCTCCCTCCCTTTCTCTCTGAAATCAATAATAAAAAATAAGAAAAAGTGTTTTAAAACATCATTGATGCCTCTCTCTCTCTCTCTCTCTCTCTCTCTCTCCCTTCCTCTCTGAAATCAATAAAAAAGTATTCAAAAAATAGATTTTATTTATTTTTTACGGAGAGGAAGGGAGAGGGCTAGAGAGTTAGAAACATTGATAAAAGAGAAACATTGATCAGCTGCCTCCTGCACCCTTTCTACTGGGGATGTGCCCACAACCAAGGTACACGCCCTTGACCGGAATCGAACCTGGGACCCTTGAGTCCGCAGGTCGACGCTCTAGTCACTGAGCCAAACCGGTTAGGGCAACAAAAAGTAATTTTAAAGAAGGATTGTGTCCCAATAGATTAATAAAAACATTAAGTATTGTGGGGAAGGAAAAACAATATTGTGGCTAACGTCCAGGAAGACATTCAGGGACAGGTTGGAGAGAGAGAAGAGAAGGGACTCTGGAAGAGAGAGAGAGAGAGAGAGAGAGAGAGAGAGAGAGAGAGAGAGAGAGAGAGAGAGAGAGAGAGAGAGAGAGAGAGAGAGAAATGAGGTTGAATGATCAGCTGTTACAGCCTTTCAACGAGCGCCACCTGGAGGCGGCAGGTGAGCCCTGCAGGCAGAAGCGGGAACTGCACCTACAGATGCCCATGGAAGCATTGGTCCTGGGTGACCAAGGGGAGGACCTGCGTTTTCAGGCGGGAGAACTGCTGCAGGGGCGAAAACTGCAGCCTTTGGAGAGAGAAGGGCAGGAGGCAGAGCGGAGATAAAGACAAAGCTGACCCAGCCGTCGCTGCCAGCCAACATCAGTTCAGTGACTGGCCTGTGACTAAAGAAAATCAACAGTGCTGGTAAGTCCTGATACCTAGGAGGACTCAGGACTTGCCTTCGGTGTCCCCCAGGGGCTCAGGTAAAGAATGAAACCTGTGGGGCGGGTCTGATGGGGTGGGGCAGTGGTCGGCAAACTCATTCGTCAACAGAGCTAAATATCAGCAAGACAACGATTGACATTTCTTTGGAGAGCCAAATTTTTTAAACTTAAACTATATAGGTAGGTACATTGTTTTTTTGTTTGTTTGTTTGTTTTGTTTTGTTTTGTTTTAATATATTTATTGATTTTTTACAGAGAAGAAGAGAGAGGAATAGAGAGCTAGAAATATTGATCAGCTGCCTCCTGCACACCCTCCACTGGGGAGGTGCCCACAACCAAGGTACATGCCCTTGACCGGAATCGAACCTGGGACCCTTCAGTCCGCAGGCCGACGCTCTATCCACTGAGCCTAACCGGTTTCAGCTACATTTTATTTTTTTAAAACTGCATGAAATATGTTGGAAATTCCTATATGAAAATGGGGGTGTATGTGTTTCTCCCCCCCTCCCCCCCAAAAAAGGTTATTAGTTTGAGGGATATGATTTCTTTATAATAATTGATAATAGTTGCAATTTAGGGGCAACCAGAATTCACACACACACACACACACACACACACACACACACATATATATGTAAATCTGAATATGATATCTACTCTAAAATTGGAGTAATTTTTCTTCATTCAAAACTGACAGAAGCCAATGAATGGCGAGCTCACATTATAGCTGTTCTGAATATTATAGTAATAAATAAAAGCATTAATAATAATAATAAAAAGAGAATTGTACATTTACTAGAGGCCTGGTGTAAAAATTCATGCACCAGTGGGGTCCCTCATCCTGCCCTGCAGGATCAGACTGAAACCAGCTCTCCAATATCTCCCATGGGATCCTGGATTGTGAGAGGGCGCAGGCCAGGCTGAGGAATCCCACTGGTGCACAACTGGGGCCAGGGAGAGACAGAGAAGGGCTCCAGGGCGTGTCCAGACTAGCTTGCTCAGTCCTGATTGGCCAGACCCCAACAACAAGCTAACCTACTGGTTGGACCATTTGCTCCCTGGTGGTCAGTGCATATCATCATGAGCAGTTGAGTGGCCTTAGCATATCATTAGCATAGTACACTTTGATTGGTTGAATGGACAACTGGACACTTAGCATAGTAGGCTTTTTTTTAAATTTTTTTAAGGGGTAATAAATAAATAGCTATTTATTCCACTATTCAAGTAATGGGAAAATTAGCAAGTCTGCGATCACTTTTCTAACTTTTCTTTAAAAAAAATATTTTATTGATTTCAGAGAGGAAGGGAGAGGGAGAGAGAGAAACATCAATGATGAGAGAGAGTTATTAATTGGCTGCCTCCTGCACACTCCCTACTGGGGATCAACCCAGGCCTGTGCCCTTGGCCGGAACCGAACCTGGGACCCTTCAGTCCGCAGGCCAACGCTCTATCCACTGAGCCACACCATAAATAACTTCTATTAGAGTCATCTATTTCATTTTTTGAATATATACTTTTATTCATTACAAGTGGAAAGGAGAGGGAGAGATAGAAACATCCACCAGGAGAGAGAATCATGGACGGCTGCCTCCTGCACGCCCCTCACTGGGGATCGAGCCCACAACCCGGGCCTTTGCCCTGATCGGGAATCGAATGGTGACCTCCTGGTTCGTAGGTCGACACTCCACCACGGAGCCACACTGGCCAGGCTGGGATCATCAATTTTAGTAATCAGAAACGTGTCAAACCAGTGTGATAAGAACCAAAATTCCACCCTGGCTGGTTTTGCTCAGCGGGTAGAGCATCAGCCTTCAGACTGAAGGGTCCCAGGTTCGATTCCAGTCAAGGGCACATGCCGGAGTTGTGGGCTTGGTCCCAAGATGGGGGCATGCAGGAGGCAGCTGATCCATGATTCTCTCTCATCATGGATGTTTCTATCTCTCTCTCCCTCTTCCTTCCTCTCTAAAATAAATAAAAACATTTAAAAAAAGAAAGAAAAGAAACAAGGGCATGCAAGGAGGCAGCTGATCAGTGATTTTTATCATGAATGTTTCAATCTCCCTCTCCCTCTCCCTTCCTCTTTGAAATCAATAAAAATGTATTTTAAAAATAAAAAATAAAAAAAGAAACAAAATCCCTTCTCAGACTAGCTGGTGCCAGGAATGATGGCTCAAGAAAGCTGCAAGGAGGGAAGAGAGGCTGGGTTTTGGAAGCAATTAGAAGCAAGAAGAGAAAATTAAAAGAAGAAGAAGAAGAAGAAGAAGAAGAAGAAGAAGAAGCAGCTGTCAGCGCTGTCCCTGGTCCCGCTTCCCGGATGCTGCCTGAGTCATCTCCGCGCCTCTCAGGAGGGACCGCTTCCTCCACACGCTGAGCCAGATGGTCCCAGGAGCTCCCACGCGCCCGCCGGAGAGAACACTTCCGTGGCAGGAGGAGCAGAGAGCTACTCCACCCCCGCGTCGCTGCTCCCTCCCCGCGGTGACCTTGCCCACCGGGGCTGGTGAGGGGAGGATGCTCCCCCCAGAGGTGGTGCCATTCCTGGGAGCTACTGGGTGAAGTGGGTGCCAGCACCCCGGGTCCCTGGGCACCATGTGCACCGGGACCTCACGCTCAGAGAGGGACCCTGTATTTGAGGCTTCGCCCTCCAAGGTCACTCTTTTGAAGTTATTAAAAAATATATATATATATATATATAATATATATTTTATATATTTTTAATAACTTCAATATATATATTATTGATTTTTTTACAGAGAGGAAGGGAGAGGGATAGAGAGCCAGAAACATCGATGAGAGGAAAACATCCATCAGCTGCCTCCTGCACACCTCCACCGGGGATGTGCCCGCAACCAAGGTCCATGCCCTTGACCGGAATCGAACCTGGGACTTTTCAGTCCGCAGGCCGACGCTCTATCCACTGAGCCACACTGGTTAGGGCTCTTTTGGAGTTCTTCATCAGTTATCTTTGCACCTGTGTCTTATTTATTTGAAGATTTTTTTTTTAAAAAAATTGATTTTTAGACAGAGAGAGGAAAGGAGAGGGAGAGGGAGAAAAACATCGACGTGAGAGCCAAACCCTGATCGGATGCCGCCTGCACGCCCTGTGAAGCATAGTAACTTCCATCTTGGGTAAAAACTGCTGTTTAAAAATTTTAACCCTGCTATTCTGGCTTCTGTAAACGTTTGCTTGCTTAAATAATAGGGGAAAATGAGACCACTCCCATTCCAGAGAGGCCATAAACGATGCCCCAGACAGAGCTGGCAGGGCTGGAACTAGACACAGGACTTTTTCTCAGATGGTCCAGAAGTCTTGTTCCAAATTTGGAAAACAGAGCTGAACAACATATAAATAAGGGAGACTGCCACCATATTGGGCTGCAGAATTTGAGAAGCAAGATTTCCACTGGGCCCAATATCGTACTAGCGAAATGGACAGGACTCCACATAAATTTGGCTTTTTGATCAAGGTGTCTTCTGATTTACAATAGAACACCCTGACTGGGGATTGAGCCCACAGCCAGGATATGCGCCCTGACCAGGAATCAACATGGCAACCTTTGGGTGCACCGGACGACCCACTGAGCCACGCAGGCCAGGCCCATTGGTTGATTCTTGTATGTGCCCTGATCAGGGATAGAACCCCCAGCACTGGTGTGTCAGGATGGCGTCCTACTTCAGTGGGCGGCAAACCACGGCTCTCGAGCCACACGCGGCTCTTTGGCCCCTGGAGTGTGGCTCTTCCTCAAAACACCACGGCCTGGGCGAGTCTGTGTTGAAGAAGTGGCGTTAGGAGAAATTCACGTTTAAAAACTTTGGCTCTCCGGAGAATTTCAACCGTTGTGCTGTGGATATTTGGCTCTGTGGACTCATGAGTTTACCGACAATTGTGATAACCAATTGAGGCACCTGGCGGCTGGGGCTAATTCAGTTCTTATCCTGGCAATTCGTGCAGACTGCAACAAAGCACTGTTCCGGGGCAGGGGCTGGCCAATCCGGCCCAACGCTTGTGTCTGTAAATAAAGTTTTATGAGAACGCAGCCAGCCCAACGCTTGTGTCTGTAAATAAAGTTTTGTGGGAACGCAGCCACAGCTACTTGTTCACCCATCAGCTGCAGCTGTGTTCACGCTGTAGCCGCAGCAGCGAGAGAATCTGAGGCCCCCAGAGGCGGGAAGGCGGTCCTCTCTGCTCCTCTGCAGGAAAAGTTCGTCCGGCTCTGCTTTGGGGGGGGGGGTGGAAAGGGGGGAAGGAAGATTCTGTGTTTAAACCTTCGGTGAGTTGGCTTTGTAGCATCTTCAAAGATAGCAGCTATTGTCTTTTCCTCAATGGATCCAGGAAGTAAAAAGTCACGTCAGGACCAGCTGCAGGCAGGGTCGGAGGCACAGCTGGGTTGCATAACAATAACAACGCCAATAATTGGAGACAAGAGACTGAAAACACTGAATGGTGTTTGAGTGCAGGAGGCAGGGGTCTGAGGCTGTCTCTAGCTTGTTTTTCCCCCCTTAATTTGGTTACATGACTCAGTTCTTTTTGGGATATGCGTGTGTTATTATTTTACTAGAGGCCCAGTGCACAAATTCGTGCACCAGTGGGGTCCTTCAGCCTGGCCTGTGGGATTGGGCCGAAACCGGCTCTCCCACATCCCCCCTAGGGGTTCCGGATTGGGAGAGGGCACAGGCCAGGCTGAGGGACCCCATCAGTGCATGATCAGGGCTAGTGAGGGATGCAGGAGTTTGGCTGGGGAGGGACCAAGGGAGGGCTCCAGGCCATGTCTGGCCCATCTGGCTCAGGCCTGATCAGGGGGGACCCCCCCGCAGCAAGTTAACCTACTGGTCAGAGCGTCTGCCCCCTGGTGGCCAGTGCACATCAATAGCGATTGAGCAGACAGCATATTCCACTTTGTTGCTACTGTTATGAATCGTAATGTGAATATCTGTGTTTTCCGATGGTCTTAGGCGACCCCTGTGAAAGGGTCGTTCGACCCCCAAAGGGGCCGCGACCCACAGGTTGAGAACCGCTGCTGTAGAGCCTGAGACCATCGGAAAACACAGACATTTCCATCACGATTCATTAGCAGTAGCAACATGACAGTTATGAAGTGGCAACGAAAATAATTTTATGGTTGGGGGTCATCACAACATGAGGAGCTGTATTAAAGGGTCAAGGCTTTAGAAAGGCTGAGAACCACTGATTTAGAGGAACAAACAGAAGAATACATTTCTCATCTAAAGCTACTCAAGACACAGAGAACTCCCTCCGAGTATAAAGGATGAATTACGCTGAGGTACAGAAAGAACCCTAACTGGTGTGGCTCGGTGGATAGAGCGTTGGCCTGTGGACTGAAGGGTCCCAGGTTCATTTCCGGTCAAGGGCATGTACCTCGGTTGTGGGCGCATCCCCAGTAGGGAGTGTGCGGGAGGCAGCTGATCAATGTTTCTCTCTCATCCATGTTTCTAACTCTCTATCCCCCTCCCTTCCTCTCTGTAAAAAAAAAAAAAATCAATAAAATATGTATTTAAAAATAAATAAGTAAAAGGTAAAAAGAATGAACATACAGCCCTGGCTGGTATGGCTCAGGGGATAGAGTTTTCCCCCATGGACTGAAGGGGCCCGAGTTTGATTCCGACCCAGGGCACATTCCTGGCTTGGGTGCATGTGGGAGGCAACCAATCCATGTCTCTCTCACATGAATGTTTCTCTCTCTCTCCCTCTCTCTCTCTCTCTCTCTCTCTCTCTCTCTCTCTCTCTCTCTCTCTCTCTCTCTTCACCCCTCCTCCCTTTTACTCTCTCTCTCTCTCTGACAATCAACGGGGGAAGATACCTTCGTGTGAGGATTAACAACAACAAATGATGAAGCTGAATACAACTTATGAGTTGGCAAGGAAGCAGGGGAAGTGGAAACAGGTACCCCCTGGTGGCAACGTAACAGGTGAAACCGCCTTAGCTATGGTTTTCCCTCTCCGAGTGGGATGGAAGGGATGGATGGAAGGGGGGAACGGCGGAAGGCAGAGTTTACTTCTAAGTCAGTGTGGCTCAGCTGGTGGAGCCTTGTCCGGTGCACCAAGAGGTCGCAGGTTCCGTTCCGGGCTCATGCCCGGGTTGTGGGCTGGATCCCCAGTAGGGGGCGTGCGGAGGCAGCCAATGGATGTTTCTCCTTCTCCCTTCCTCTCTCTCTCAAATAAATAGAAACATATTTTTTTAAAAAACACAAAAACAACAAACCAAAAACTTAATTTTATTACTATAGATTATGGCCGAGGATACAGAATGACGAGGGTTTCTGTATGTCCAGTCGTCTCAGCCGCCTGACCCCCAGCCCCTCCTCCCCCAGGGAACAGTCCTCCTCCAGGCTCTGGCCGGCCGGCCTCCTACACGTTCACCGAGGCTCAGTCACAGGCTCCTGGGGGCTCCTCGGCCGGGACAGAAGCTGCCGCCGCTGCCTCAGACGGTGTCTTCCGTTTTCCATCAGCACCCGACCCCTCCTGGGGGTCTTCCGTCTTCGGGGAAAAGAGATGGGCACTTACTGCTTTTTAAAATATATATTTTTTTATTGATTTTAGAATATATTTTATTGATTTTTTTACAGAGAGGAAGAGAGAGTTAGAAACATCGATGAGAGAGAAACATCGATCAGCTGCCTCCTGCACACCTCACACTGGGAATGTGCCCACACTGAGGTACATGCCCTTGCCCGGAATCGAACCTGGGACCCTTCAGTCCGCAGGCCGACGCTCTATCCACTGAGCCACACTTGTCAGGGCGAACCCACAACCTCTTGATGTACAGGAAGACCCTCTTAGCAGTTGAGCCACTGGGCCAGGGAAAAGCACATGTTTTTAAACGCGATGCTCACTGGCCTCCTAACTGGGAGTCGGGGCACCCCTGTAGCCAGAGCAAGGGCTGAGCCAGGTGGCAGCAGGGCAGCCAGGGCTGAGGGCGCTGCTGGGGAATTCCGGTGGGGAGAACTCACCGAGAGCGACGAGCTTTCCTGCTGGGACAGATCTGCACTCGAGGGAAAAAAACACAGACTCAGTTCTCAGCCGCAGGAGTCCAACCACCCTCTTTCTATCCAGAGACTCTCTCCTGGGTCCTGTTATCACTTACCTGAGTCCTCTTGCTCCGGATGACTAGTTCAGAGAGAGAGAGGGAGAGAGAGAGAGAGAGAGAGAGAGAGAGAGAGAGAGAGAGAGAGAGAGAGAGAGAGAGAGAGAGAAACATACATTAAAGTATGGGCTATGGCCCTGACCGGTGTGGCTAGTGCACAGAACGTCGGCCTGCGGACTAAAAGGTCCCAGGTTCGATTCCGGTCAAGGGCCTGTCCCTTTGTTGTGGGCACATCCCCAGTGGAGGGTGTGCAGGAGGCAGCTGATCGATGCTTCTCTCTCATCGATGTTTCTAACTCTCTATCCCTCTCTCTTCCTCTCTGTAAAAATCAATACATTAAAAAAAAAAAATAAAGTATGGGATATGGCCCTGGCCGGTGTGGTTCCGTGGATAGAGCATCGGCCTGCAGAACAAAGGGTCCCGGGTTCGATTCAGGTCAAGGGCATGTACTTGGTTGCGGGGTCCTCCCCGGCCGGGGCCCTGATAGAGCTTGTGCAGGAGGTAATCAGTCGATGTGTTTCTCTCACATCAATGTTTTCTCTCTGTCTCTCCCTCTCTCTTCCACTCTCCCTAAAAATCAATGGGAAAATGTCCTCGGGTGAGGATTCACAAAAAAGATAAATAAATAAAATATAGGCTATGGAGATTTTGGGAGGGATGGTGAGGATGTTGGAGAGGCGCGGAGGAAGGTCGCAGCATAGACGGGGAGAGGGAGTTGCGAGGGGGGAACGTGGTGGGGCTGGGCATGAGCCGTGGGGTCTGTGTGGTGGAGTCTCTGAAGGAAGGAGTGTGCGACTTTCAGGTACATCTACCTCTTGGTGGATTCCCCATGGGATGAGCCTGTAAAAAAACACGGGGGAGGGGGAGGGATTTAATCTGACGAGCGACTCCTCCCCTTCACTCCCCTTCCCCAGCGGTTTCAATGGGTGTTTCCGTGGACTCACCACTCTGACTGCGCCGGTAGATGAGGAAGACCGTGGGGAAGAGGAGGAAGATGGCGAGGCAGCTGAAGGCGGTGACGAAGATGACCCTGCTGTCTGGGGGGACAGGAGCGGGTCAGGGCCGGTTTCGGAGACCAGGTAAGAGGAGGCAGGGGTAGACAGCGCCTGGGAAGGTGCTTGGGCATTTCTTTAATTATCATCAGCTTGAACTCAGGACGATAGGCAGAGCTACGTCCTGGGAACATGCTTCCCCAGTGAGGCTGGACATGTTATCAGTACTTTTAACTTTGTCCAGGTGATACATATATATACTAGAGGCCCGGTGCAGGAAAATTCCTGCAAGAATAGGGCTTCCTGCAGCTGTCTTCACCGCCCTGCCTGCTTCCCTCCCTTCTCCGCCACCCGCTTGCTTCTCTGCAGCTTTGCTCCCTTCTGCAGCGCTTGGCTTCCTTCTACACCGTCTTCAGTCTTCGCTCTGTGCCTGGATACGCAGATTAACTGCCATCTTTGTTGGGTTAATTTGCGTACTTGCTCCTGATTGGCTGGCAGGCGTGGCTTGTGGGCATAGCGGAGATACAGCCAATGTGCATGCTTCTCTTTTATTAGATAGGACTAGAGGCCCAGTGCATGAAAATTCATGCACTGGAGTGGGGGTCCCTCAGCCCAGCCTGCCCCCTCTCACAGTCCAGGAGCCCTCAGGGGAGGGAGGCAACCCCGTGATCAGGGGGAGGCGACGTCCCCATCACACCTCTGCTGCTGCCACTGCCAGCAGCGCAAGGCTCGGGCAGCCCTAGGCAGCTTGGCAGCTGCCATCTGAGGCTTACCCGTGCCTCAGGCCCACCCTGGGTGGCTGGGGTGGAGGGTGGGGGGCGGCGGAGGGGACTGGGGTACTCAAGGCAGGCGCCCTAGTGGACTGAGGGGGATTGGATGCTGCCATCTTGTGGCTGTGGGTGCCACCATCTTTGCAGGCGGGCAGTCAATTAGCATATTCCCTCCTTATTGGCTGTTGGTGCTGCCAACTTTGCAACAGCATGAGGGTCAATTAGCATACCTCCTCTTTATTAGATAGGATATTTTAAAAATATTTTTATTGATTTCAGAGAGGAAGGGAGAGGGAGAGAGAGAGATTGAGACATCGATGAGAGAGAATCATGGATCAGCTGCCTCTGCACACCCAATACTGGGGATTGAGCCTGCAACCCGGGCATGTGCCCTTGGCCAGAATAAAACCCAGGACCCTTTAGTTCACAGACAAAGCTCTATCCACTGAGCCAAACCAGCTAGGGCTAAAATATATTTTTTATTGATTTCAGAGAGAAAGGGAAAGAGAGAGAGAGAGAAACATCAATGATGAGAACATATCATTGATTGGCTGCCTCCTGCATGCCCCCTACTGGGGATCAAGCCCACAGCCCAGGCATGTGCCCCACTGGGACCGTTATACCCACACTTTCTGTGGCTGCAATTGCTCTCCTGTCCCTTCTCCCCGTACCTCATCTGACATTCCGTGGGTGCCTTCATGCTGTTCAAGACTTAGTTCAAACATCACCTCTGTGCAACCATATGCCTGACGAACTGTGACCTCCTGGCCCAGAGGTCAACACTCAACCATTGGGGTGACAGTGGTTCACAGATGATGCAGGTTTCTGGTGTACAATTCTGCAGCACACCATCTGTGTGGTATATTATATTGTGTATGCACTACTCCAAGGCAAGCCTCCTTCCATCACCACTCACCCCCCCAACCGTCTCCTACCTTCCCCCACCTCCCTTTTAAGACAGTAGGCCCTAGCCAGTGTGGCTCAGTGGATAGAGCATTGGCCTGGGAACTGAAAGATCCCAGGTTTGATTCCGGTCAACGGCACATGCCTGGGTTGTGGGCTTGATCCCCAGTGGGGGATTTGCAGGAGGTAGCCGATCCATGATTCTCTCTCCTCATGGATGTTTCTCTCTATCTCTTCCTTCCTCTCTGAAATCAATAAAAATATATTAAAAAAAATAAAAGACAGTAGGTATTGAGCATTCTCACCCAAGGTGGGGGAGGGGGGAAGGAGGAAAATATATGAGGTGAGAAATGTGTTCATGAGCTCCATGGGGGAAACCCTTTCACAACGTATGCTTATATCACATTAAATATCCTACCATTTTATTGTCAGCTATACCTCCATAAAGCTGAGGGAGGTAAGACTGCTAAGGTGGAGAGAGGAGAAACCATGGCGAGTGCTGGCTCCAGCACCCAGTGGGGGGTCTGCCTGCCGGTGCGGGATGAGGGCGGGGTCCCACCCAGGTGGGCGGGGTCCCACCCAGGTCCCGCCTGCACCCACCTCCCTCCGTGACAGATGCTGTTGTCACTCCCTCACCCATGTTCCCCGACTGTTTGTCATTTTCACACACCACAGATCACGCCTCTTTCCCCTTCCTACGTGAACATTTGCATCTGGAAGGATCCCAAACGCCTTGGCATTTATGTGCCTAGAGCAGCGTTTTTCAACCGCTGTTCCGCGGCACACTAGAGATGTTGCCTGGTGTGCCGTAGGTGCAGACAAGACAAGAATTTTATAATTTTTCACTATTTTGTTTACTTAATATTTCATAATAAAGTAATTATAAAATACTTTCTTTGTGTTTATTTGATTCCTATTCAAGAGAATTACTTTATATATAGTCAATATAGGCACAGAGTTAAATTTTTTAACATTTTCTAATGGTGTGCCTCGTGATTTTTTTCATGAAACAAGTGTGCCTTTGCCCAAAAAAGGTTGAAAAACACTGGCCTAGAGGTCCCTCCCTCCCTTCCCTTTCCATCTTCCTTTCTTCTTTCCTTTTCCTTTTCTGCTCCCTTCCTCCCTCCCTCCCTCCCTCCCTCCCTCCCTCCCTCCCTCCCTCCCTCCCTCCCTCCCTTAAATCTTCACCTGAGGATATTTTCCCAATAATTTTTAGAGAGAGTGGAAGGGAGGAAGGGAAAGAGAGAGAGAGAGAAACATCCATGTGAGAGACACATCGATCCGTGGCCTCCTGCATGTGCCCCGACCTGGTCCAGGGATCGAACCAGCAACCAGGTATGGGCCCTTGACCAGGAGTCAACACAGATACATGCCCTTGACCACGCCCTTCGGTGCGAGGGCTGGTGCTCTAACCACGGACCCACACCAGCCAGGGCAAGGACACCCCTTTAGCAAGGACTATTCTCGCTCCCCAGCCTCTGGTGCCTGTGACCTTCTGTCTCCTGTGCTTTCTTGTGGGACTGAGCAGAGGGACGGACACATCCCACCGTTGCTTTGCCTCTTTCCCTCCAAATCCCCCTTCCCTGCTCCCAATATCACTTTTGCCGTCATATTTAAGGATTTGCTTCTGGTGGCACCGAACCCAGGAGACCCTCAAAAGCGACAATTCTACCAGGGCATCCGCGAGGCCGTAGGTGCACGGGCAGGAACAGCTAGTTGTTCCTGGGCCCTGGATGGAAGCAGAGAAACATCGGCCCTGCTTATCCTTTTTCTTCTCCCCCGCCCCCTCCCTCTGCAGCCTGCAGTTCCTCTCACTGAGCAACGTGCTAGAAACGAGAAGCAGATTATTGCAAAATTGTCCCCCTTCTGAGGGCCCCGCAGTCCAATGAGCTGGGTTTACCCCGAGATGTCCACACATCCTGGTCGAATTTGCACTAACGGCCGAAGTGAAATGACAGAGAGTCTATGCAGCTGGAGCAACCTGATGGAGCGATGGGACAGAGTGTGGCACAGGCACCGGAAAGGAAGTGACAGGCCCGAGGGAGAGAGAAAGCTGGCCTTGTGTCTCAGTTACATGGTGAAATTCCTTATCAGTCTGCAAGGATGGGAGCGCAGAGTCCCTTCGGGCAGCCTCCAGGCAGGCATACCCAGGTTGTGGGCATCATATCTGTGCTTAAAGATCTGTTATTCTGTTTAGAATCGTAGTGGTTCAGCTGTGGCTGGTGTGGCTCAGTGGAGAGAGCACCAGCCTGTAGACGGAAGCGTTCCAGGTTCGATTCCGGTCAGGGGCATGTACCTCGGTTGCAGGCTCCTTCCAGACCCGGGTTCTGGTTGCAGCTCGTGCAGGAGACAACAGATCAATGTGTGTCTCTCTCACATCAATGTTTCTCTCTCTCTTTCTCTCTTCCACTCTCTCCAAAGATCAATGGGCAAATATCCTCGGGTGAGGATAAACCAGTAAACCAATAAAATGCTCACCTCCCATTATTGTAGACTGGAGGCCCGTTGCAGGAAGATTCCTGCAAGAATTGGGCTTCCCTCCCAGCTGCCACTTCCCCTTGCTTTCCCTCCCTCTTCCTTGTACACTGTCATCAGTCTTCCCTCCGAGCCCTGTGTATGCAAATTAACCACCATCTTTGTCGGGTTAATTTGCATACTTGCTCTGATTTGCTGGTGGACATAGTGGAGTGGTGGTCAATTTGCATGTTCCTCTTTTATTAGCGTAGATAGAAAAAAAAAGGAATAAAAAAGAATTGTGGTCCTGACTGTTTTGGCTCAATGGATAGAGCGTCGGCCTGCAGACTGAAAGGTCCCAGGTTCGATTCCGTTCTAGGGCATGTACCTTGGTTGCAGGCATTATCTTCAGTGGGAGATGTGCAGGAGGCAGCTGATTGATGTTTCTCTCTCATTGATGTTTCTAACTCTATCCCTCTCCCTTCCTCTCTGTAAAAAAATCAATAAAATATATATTGGATACATTTAAAAAAAAGAATTGTGGCGTTTTAAGTATGAACTCAGGAAGTAGATGTTAAGAAGTGGCATGCACACCCACTTGGCTGGCTATAATACAAGGAAAGGAAGTTAGCGAGGGTTGGCAGAATGTGGAGATACCATAGAGGGAGCCATGTATATGGCGGGAAGGTAAAACGGCCCAGCCACTTTGGCAAACAGCCTGGCAGGTCCTCCAACAATTAAACACAGAGTTACCAGTTCTACCTACTGGTGGGTAGAACTTAGTTGAAGGAGAAACTAGGACGCTTGCACACCCTGTTCCTGGCGGCACTGAGCCTAAGACCTGGCCAGATAGCTCAGTTGGTTAGAGCAGTGGTTGGCAAACTCATTAGTCAACAGAGCCAAATATCAACAGTACAACAATTGAAATTTTTTTTTTGAGAGCCACATTTTTCAAACTTAAAGTTCTTCTAATGCCACTTCTTCAAAATAGACTTGGTATTTTGTGGAAGAGCCACACTCAAAGGGCCAAAGAGCCACATGTGGCTCATGAGCCACAATTTGCCAGTCACTGGGTTAGAGCATTATCCTCATACTCCAAGGTTGTAGGTTCAATCCCTGGTCAGGGCAGATATAAGAATCAACCAATGTGCCCTAGCCTGTTCAACTAAGTTCTACCCACGAGTAGGAGGAACAAAGTTGATACCTCCTACTTTGTTCTTTCTCAGGATGCTTTGACATAGAGTGCCAGCTTGCAGACTGACGGGTCCCAGGTTTAATTCAGGTCAAAGGCACATGCATGCCCAGGTTGCGGGCTCGATCCTCAGTAGCAGGCATGCAAGAGGCAGCCGATCCATGATTCTCTCTTTCTATCTTTCTCTTCCACTCCCTTTCTCTTTGAAATCAATAAAAATGTATTTTTTTTAAAAAAAGAATCAACCAATGAATACATTAATGGAACACTAAACTGACGTTTCTCTCCCTCTCCCTTCCTTTTAAAAAATCAATCCATCAATAAAACTACCCAAAGCCCTAATTTTTATAAACATCCCTGAGGACAGAACCTTAGGCAATTCTTCATGGAAAAAGCAACATCAGAGAAAAAAGAATTTAATATTCCCCTATTGTTGATAACTTTCAAGTGTTATAGTGACCTTGATCATACATATCGCCAAAATACCTCAAATTTTTGGGTACTGATCCCGGGCCCCAAACCAGTCACATAAACTCACCCAAAGTTTTTCATTAATGAAAGAATGGAGGCCCAGTGCACGAATTTGTGCACAGGAGGGGTTCCTTGGCCTTGGCCGGCTATGGGGGCTGATTGATGGGGGCTGATCGAGGCTGGTTGGCCAAGGGGAGGGACCTTGGGAGGTCCCAGTTGTGGGAGATTGGCTGTGGGAGCATACTGACCATCATGGGGCAGCTCCTGCGTTGAACATCTGCCCCCTGGTGGTCAGTGCACATCATAGCTACCGTCCCGTCCTCTGGCTGTAATGGTTGTTTAGGCTTTTATATATGTAGTTGGCAGACAATGCACCTCGTGATGTATTAAATCGCCAGGATTTTGGATTAGAAGTCTTCTCCCCCCAAATGCAGTAGTTCCTCTCAAAGCATGAGAAAGTGGGCGTTACGGTTCCCCCTGGGCCTTTCGATGAACAGGGATCCCCTGCCTCGGGAGGCGGATATCATCGGTAAAAAACACCTGTAATCATCTTACCTATTTTTGCTGAGGGAGCTCCAGGTCTGTCGTGGTTATCTAGAAAACAGGACGCAGAAAACACAGTCATCGCAATGACATGGCGATCTCGGGGGCGTGAGTGCTCATGTTCTACTAAAGGCCCGCAAGGCAGAGAAGAAGAGAATCTCACTGGGCCTCCGAATGAGGGCCAGTATTACTCTTAAAACGCCTGGAGTTTGATATGATTATTTCAATTTTAATTGATTGATTTTTAGAAAGAAAGAGAAAAAAACACTGACTTGTTGTTCACCCATCTATGCATTCATGGGTGCCCAGACTGGGGATCGAACCCACAACCTTGGCATATCGGGATGATGCTGTAATCAAGTGAAACTCATCATTGATGTTTCAATCTCCCCCTCCCTTTCTAAAACTATATTTTTAAAAAATGAAAAAAATAAAATTAGGGAGTGTTGATACCTCCAACTATAATATGTTCATTTTCAGGATGCTTTAATACCGTCCCACTGCCCTGGCCAGGTAGCTCAGCTGATCAGAGCGTCGTCTGGGTACACCAAGGTTACACGTTTGCTCCCCAGTCAGGGCACATTCAAGAACCAACCAGTGGCCCTGACTGGTGTGGCTCAGTTGCTTGGGCCTTGTTTCATGTACCCAGAGGTTGCTGGTTCAATTCTGGACAAAGGCACATGCCTGGGTTATAGACTTAATCTCTCATAGGGGGCATGCAGGAGGCAGCTCTCACACTGATGTTTCTCTCTCTCTCTCTCTCTCTCTCTCTCTCGTTCCAATATTTTAAAGAATAATTTAAAGAATAAACTATTCTTTAAAAATAGAGAATAAAGGTAAAAACAAAAAAAACACACACACACAATAATCCACCAATGAATGCATAAATAAGTGGAACAATACATCAACATTTCTCCCCATCTCTCAAATTAATAACTAAAGACTAAAAAATAAACAAATAAATAAATAAATAAAACACTGCCCCACATCATTGAGACCCACTCAGATGCCCTGATGACAAGCTCATCCCCACACTCAGTTCCCATGTCCCCATTTCCCCACACTCGGGGTGTGGCACCTGTCTGTCTGTTTCCTGGATTCCTTCTTCCCTGCCGGGTCCCCTCACAGGAGAGGGAGCATGTGCTCCAGGGAGAAGAGCCCAGGCTGGCTGCTCACCTGTGACCTCCAGGCGCAGGTGCTCGCTCTGCTCTGACCACACGTGGGAGCCCGCGGTCTTGTAGGCACAGAAGTACCTCCCGGCGTGCTCGGGCCCCAGGTGCGTGAGGAGGAATCCGGCATCGTGTCCCGCTGAGCTCCACTCCCGCCTGTACCCCGGGGCCTGCCACTTCCCCAGCATGAACTTCACGTTCTGCAAGGGACCCTGACACTTCAGGGTCACGTTACCGCCGCGTCTGACCACTGATCCCGGCAAGGCATGGAGCGAGGGTCTGGGGAGGGTGTCTGGAAGGAATTCAGGGTTAGGTAGATTGTTTATCTTTTTAGTTTTATTTTCCAACTATAGTTTACATTCAATATGTTAGATTAGTTTCAGGTGTACAGCATGTGGCTAAACCATCCTATTTTACTTTTTAAATTTATTTTATTTTATTTTTAATATATTTTATTGAGTTTGTACAGAGAGGAAGGGAGGGAGATAGGGAGTTAGAAACATCGATGAGAGAGAGTCATCGATCAGCTGCCTCCTGCACACCCCCCACTGGGGATGTGCCCACAACCAAGGTACATGCCCTTGACTGGAATCGAACCTGGGACCTTTCAGTCCCCAAGCCGACGCTCTATCCATTAAGCCAAACCAGTTTCAGCTAAATTTATTTTTTACAGAGAGGAAGGGAGAAGTATAGAGAGTTAGAAACATCAATGAGAGAGAAACATTGATCAGCTGCCTCCTGCACACCTCCCACTGGGGATGTGCCCGCAACCAAGGTACATGTTCCTGACTGGAATCGAACCTGGGACCTTTCAGTCTGCAGGCCAATGCTCTATCCACGGAGCCAAACTGGTTAGGGCAACTCTATCATTTTTTTTTTTTTTTTTAAGAATAGATCATTGATTCTTAGAGGAAGAAGGAGAGAAACATCAATGTGAGAGTAGTAGATCGATCAGCTGCCTCCTGCACCCCCCACTGGGGATCGAGCCCATAACTAGGGCAGTTGCATGACTGGGGATTGAATCAGCAACCCTTTGATATACAGGATGACATACAATTAACGGAGCCACACCAGGGCTTGACTCTATCTTGATGACCATGAACACACTCTTGGAATTCAGAGGATTAAAGGGAAAAGGTCATATGACTCGGCCATAAGAAAAAGAATGAGAATTTACCATTTGCAACAACATGGGTGGACCTGGAGGGTATGATGCCAAGTGAAATAAGTAGACAAAGACAAATACCATACGATTTCCCTTATATGTAGAATCTAAAGACAAAATAAATGAACAAACAAAAGAGAAACAAACTCATAGATCCAGAGAATAGACTGACAGCTGTCAGAGGGGAAGGTGTTGGGGGACTGGATGAAAAAGATGAAGGTATTAAGAAGTACAAATTGGCCAAAACCGGTTTGGCTCAATGGATGGAGCGTCAGTCTGCGGACTGAAGGGTCCCGGGTTCGATTCCAGTCAAGGGCATGTACCTTGGTTGCGGGCATATCCCCAGGAGGGGGTGTGCAGGAGGCAGCTGATCAATGATTCTCTCTCATTGATGTTTCTAACTCTCTATCCCTCTCTCTTCCTCTCTGTAAAAAATCAATAAAATATATAAAAAAAAAAAAAAAAAAGAAGTACAAATTGGCAGTCACACAACAGTCCCCAGGATGCAGAGTACAGCACAGGGAATATAGTCAGTAATATTGTTAATAACTGTGTATGGTGCCAGGTGGGTACTAGACTTATGGGGGGGTCATTTCATCTATACATATAATAAAAGGGTAATATGCTAATTAGATCGGGTCAACCAGACATCTTTCAGTCATCCTGCCTTCCTTCCAGACAAAGCCATGGTGGTGGGGGCCAAGGTGGTTAGGGGCGACCAGGCTAGCAGGGGAGAGCAGTTGGGGACGATCAGACCAGCGGGAGGGAGGGCCAGTTAGGGGCAATCAGGTAGGCAGGCAGAGGAGTTAGGAGCAATCAGGCATACAGGCTGGTGAGTGGTTAGGAGCCAGCAGTCCCGGATTGTGAGAGGAATGTCCGACTTCCAGTTTAGGCCCGATCTCTGCAGCATTTGGACATCCCCTGAGGGGTCCCAGATTGGAGAGGGTGCAGGCTGGGCAGAGGGACTACCCCCGCCCATGCATGAATTTCATGCACTGGGCCTCTAGTAAGGTATATAAAAGTCTAATCACTATACTGTACACCTGAAACTAATGTAATATTGTATGTCAACTGTACTTGAAAAAATATTTTTTAAAAAAATCATGGGACTTGGGATATAAAAACAGAGTTTATGTGAAAGACAACTCACCATTCTTGTGCTCATCATCATAGCCCAGACAGAGCCCTGGAAGAGAAAACCTCATGAGAGACACATGATGTGCTTGTCTTGAAGTACAAATGAGGCAGATGCTTGGCTAATTAAAAAAAAAATGTATATTTATTAATTTCAGAGAGGAAGGGAGAGTAGAAACATCAATGAGAGAGAATCATTGATCGGCTGCTTCCTATATGCCCTCCACTGGAGATCAAGCCTGCAACCCAGGGGTGTGCCCTGACCAGGAATCGAACTGTGATCTATTAGTTTATAGATTGATGCTCAACCACTGAGCCAAGCCAGCCAGATTTGACTAATTTGTTAAACATGGGCTGTGTTCCTTCCAAGTATTTCCCTGTGCATTTTTTGTTTGTTTTTTTGTTTTTAACTTTAATTCTTATCCCATTCTTTGTCCTTCAACAGAAGTTATGTTTCTGGAGAGCCTTCTAGGAACGCTTTCAGATAGATTGCATTGGAGATTGTAACAAAGCTTTTATGATGAGGACTTCTTTTGCCACCTAGAAATCCTTGATTCTTAAATCCTTGAACCCTGACCTACGATTTTCTCGGGTTGCGTTGTTTATCCTTACCACTTTCATGCTGCAATGGTTATCTGATCATGGCGTGTCAGAAAGAGTTTTCTCCCTCCACCACACGGAGAGAGTTTGTGGTACAAGAACTGAAAATGGGGAGGGTGAGGCCAGTCTCTTGACTGCCCAGCTATTCTGCCCCGCAGCTGGAGGTCCAGGGAATGGTGTCTAGAACCACCTCTGAAGTTCAAGTGGGTGGGGGAGAAGATTACCCCACAGGGAAGGGCTGTACCCAGAAGGAGGAAGGAACTGGGGCAGATAAGTCCTGGTATCCTCCTCCACACACCCAGCTCACCCAGGAGGAGCTGGGGCTCGGGAGGTGGAGCTATCGGTTCAAAGTTGAGAGTCCAACCCCAGGTTATCATCCAGGTCGTTCTATCTGCAGGCTGTGGTCTGTTTGCATTATGCTCAAGTGGAAGACAATTAAAACCAGGCCGAGAATAGGAAGTTTTCTTCTTTGTTTACTTTAAAAAAAATTCTTTTTGTTAATCCCCACCTGAGGACATTTTCCCATTGATTTTTAGAGAGAGGGAAAGACAGAGAGAAACATCTATGTGAGAGAAACACACGGATTGATTGTCCCCTTCACGAGCCCTGACCAGGGCCCAGGCCAGGGAGGAGCCTGCAACTAAGGTAACCTGCCCTTGACCTGAGTCAAGCCCCAGGGACCCTTCAGTCTGCAGGCCAACTCCCTATCCACTGAGCCAAGCCAGCTAGGGCAGAAATTTTCTTTTTAAGCACCATCCCTAGGCATTGTTCTTCCCTCTATTTCTGTTTTGTACCCAAACCCATTGCTTCTCACATCCTGTGGACCCTGCCCCTGCTATCTGCCAATGGAACATTCATGGCAAGACTGCAGTGTGAGGGTCCATGTTTGGAGATCCCATCCGAGCGTGGAATTTCTCAGCTGGCTAAACAGAGGGCGTGGTCCCCACAGACTCTGAGCCTTGGGTTCCTCATCAGCTTGTGCTAATATTAGAATGCAGGCATGTGCACAGCCCACAGAACTCCGACAGGTGGCCTGTATCCAACACGCAGGCGTCATCAGTCATTTCTGTGTTTGCCATGTTTCCCATGATGCCCCCTCCTCCACCCTCTCCACCAAGAATTTTCTCACAGATCCAACCCCATCCCTCCCGGTCCTGGATACTCACCGAGGCAAAGCAGGGACAGGAATCCTGTGATCATACTGTCCCTTCCGCCCAGACCAGGGTCCCGGCTTCAGTTTTGCAGTTAAAAGAAAGAAGTGGGAGCTTGGGGTGACCCAAGCTCTCCAGCTGCCCACCGAGCCAATCCCAGGATGTGTGGGGAGATGTACCGTTATGACCCTCCGGTTCTGCACACCACCTGGTGTGCAGTTTCCTTCTCGCAACCCACTCAGGAAGCCAGAAGCCGTCAATGACAACATCTTCCCCATAGACCGGGGGTGTGTGGCGACGGCTCCGCCCACCCCAAGGTCTGGCTCTTCTCCTTTGAAGTCCTGCGCGAGACATTTCTTTTTTTTTTTTTTTTTTGGAAATAGCAAAATAGGAAGTGGTATACAGAGTTCTTCTGGTGCTCTTGGGCCAAGTCTGGACGGGCAGCAAAAGTAGGGCGCATGGTCTCCTGCAGGCGAGCAGAAGTCACCAAGCCTCCCACCCTGCTCTGCGCATGCGCGCCCCTCAACACAGGCTGCCTTCCACGCATGATCACTCTGGGAGTCCAGAGCGTGCTGTGCGTGCAGCGAGCGCCTCCAGGGATCTGTGCGTGCGCTCTGTCTGCAGGCACGTGCTCCCCTGCACGCTGCTGCTCCTCACGCACGACGTCCTCCAGGCAGGCACGCAGCTCCCACGCAGTCTTCTACACACCAATCACAACACACGCTGCTCCCACCTACGTAAATACGTTCCCCACTCACGCAGGCTGTCTCCCAGGCGCTCACCTGGCTGGCCAGTCGCCTCAGCGCGATGCCTCGGTCAGCAGCGTGCGCAGAACGTGCGTGCGTGCACCTTCTGGAATCTTCTAGGCGCTCCGTCTGCGCATCTGTTGTGCCTGCGTCTGTTCTGGGAGAGGCCTGGGAGTGGGGTCCGTGGGCCAAGGACCCCTCCCCACACCCCCACACACACCCCACAGGCTTCGCTCACGCCCTGGTGAGGAAGCACAGCAGCCCCAAAGGTGAGTACCGCCGTCCTCACCAGCTGAGGGGGGGGTCCCCGGGGAAGACCGTCATCCCATCATGGTGGTCCCGCTAACTTCCGGTGGGCTTGTGGGGCGGCCCAGGCACAGGGTGGAGGGCATAGGGGGCGGGGGGAGGGTGGGCAGCGAGGGGGCAGCGGAACCTGCTTCCGCTGTCACCGCCTCTGCCTGGCCGGAAGTCAGGGGCTCTGTGATTTTAGGTCGACGGAAAAGTAGTATCCATTAGGTGTTTAGGCAACAAGAAGGGTTTATTCTGGTTCTCGCCGGTTTTTCTGTGGTTAGAGCGTCAGCCCGGCGGCTGCAGGGTCGCGGGTTCGGTTCTGGTCAAGGGCATGTACGTGATCCCGCCCCCAGTCAGGGCCTGACACATGGATGTTAATGTCCAGTGCCCTCCCCCTTCCCCTCTCCGCTCTCTCTCAGAATCAATGAAAAAAGTATCCTCTGGTGAGGATTAACAACAAGAAAAGAGGATATATTCTGTGAGACGGAAGGGGTGCATCTTGCCCTAGCCCCGTGGTCAGCAAACCGCGGCTCGCGAGCCACATGTGGCTCTTTGGCCCCTTGAGTGTGGCTCCTCCATAAAATACCATGGCCTGGGTGAGTCTATTTGGAAGAAGCGGCGTTAGAAGAAGTTTAAGTTAAAAAAAAAAATGTGGCTCTCCAAAGAAATTTCAAAGGTTGTACTGTTGATATTTAGCTCTGCTAACTGATGAGTTTGCCAACCACTGCCCTAGCTGGTTTGGCTCAGTGGATAGAGGGTCAGACTGCAGAACAAAGGGTCCCGGGTTCAGTGTCAGTCAAGGGCACATACCTCAGTTGCAGGCTCCTCCCTGGCCCAGGCCCTGGTCAGGGCTTGTGCAGGAGGCAACCAATCGAAGTGTTCCTCTCACATGGATGCTTTCTCTGTCCCTCTCTCTCCCACTCTCCTTAAAAAATCAATGGAAAAATATCCTCAGGGTGAGGATTAAAAAAAAAAAAAAAAAAAAAGAGTTGCATTTCAGTGCATAGTCTTCCCGAATGGCAGGTTGCAGCGGTGTTTATAGAAGGGAGAGGAAGTTTAGGGAAGGTGAATGTGGAACTTAGAGCTTTATTATTAACAGAGTTTTTGCTTCAAGTGTGAGAACTTCCATAAGCCTTAGCTCCCCCCATAGACCCTCATATATATATATATATATATATATATATATATATATATATATATATATGTATGTATGTATATATATGTATATATATGTATGTATGTATATATATGCCTAAGTGACCCAATGATCAAACGACCGCTTGCTATGACATGCACTGACCGCCAGAGGGCAGACCCTTCAATGCAGGAGCTGCCCCCTGGTGGTCAGTGTGCTCCCACAGCCAGCCTCCTGCAGCCAGCCAAACTCCCGTGACCCCTCTTCCCACCAGCCAACCTCTTACTGTTCCAGTTGGCCCTGATTGCCTCTTTCATGCATGAATTCATGCATCGGGCCTCTAGTAAATAATAAGTATTGATAATAATGACAAGAATAGGCTGTTTCTCTTACTTACAACTGTATACTTTTGCCCCACCTTGTATACTTTTATTGGCAGTATTACAAATGTCCTCCTTTGCCCTCCTTCTGCCCCCCTCCACTCCACCCACACACTGTTATCTGTGTACATGGACTATGCATATATGTTCTGTGGTCAGTCTCTTCTCCTCTTAGATTTGTCATTCTGTTCCATGTGTCCATATCTCTGGACCTGTTTTGTTTATCCAACTTAATATTTTTAAAGGCATAGAATAGGGCATCAAAGCATGTTCACTCGTGTCCTTTCATCTTTTTCTGTAATTGAATACATTGTGACATGCAGCAGTGTGTAAATTTAAGAAGTACAGGGTGTTACTTTCATACATTCCTGTATTGTGACAGAATTGCCAAGTTGTAGGGATATTTGTCACATTACACAACAGCAAATGACATCTCGAAAGACATTTTATTGAATGTAGTTTGTTTGTAAAGGTGGTAAGGTGCCTCAGAACTCAGTGTACTCGTGTTTAGATCAGTTAGCCTGTGGTAAAATTGGTTTCCTTGTGGGGTGACTCCTAAAGCCACAAAACCTATTTGTGACATTAAGTGAGGATTTACTGTACAATATGGTTGTCTGTGTTATACTATGTGTTAGGTCTCTGTGGCTTATGACTCCTTGTAAGTTTGTACCCTTAAAAGACATTAGTGTTATCTCCCACCTCCATCCCCGGGTAACCACCATTTTACTCTTTTTCAGCTTTGACTTTTTTAGCTTCCATGTGTAAGTGAGACCAGGCAGTTCTTATCTTTCTCTGGTGTGTCCCCCTTAGCATAATGCCCTCAAGGTCCACCCATATTGTCACTTATGGCAGTATATCCTCCTTTCTCATGACTAAATAATGTTCCAGTGTGTGTGTGCGCGCGCGCTCACATGGGTGATAGCTTCTTAACCATTCATCTGTTGATGGCATCTTGGCTATTTGTGAAGAATGCTGTGATAAATACAGAGAATATATAGCTCATTGAAATCCTGTTTTTACTTCCTTTTACCCAGAAGTGGGGTTGCTGGGTCATATGATAATCCTATTTTTAATTTTTTGAGAACCCTTATATGGTTTTCCAAAGTGGCCACACCAGTTTACATTCCCACCAGCAGTGTATAAGAGTTTCCTGTTGTCCACATCCTTTCCAACACATGCTACCTCTTATTTTGAAAATAGCAATTCCAGCTATGGTTTTGATTTGATTTGATTTCCCTGATTACTGATGTTGAATATCTAGGTGCCTATTGGCCATTTTGATGTCCTCTTTGGGAAAAAGAAAAGTCTTTTTGAGTTCTGTCTACTTCTTAATCAAATTGTGGCTTTTATTGTTATTATTGTCATTAAGTTATGTGAGTTATTCATATATTTATAATAATAACTCATATGATATATGGTTTGCAAAAATTTCCCGTTCTGTAGATTGCCTTTTCATTTTGTTAATCATTTCTTTTGTCATGCAGAAGCTTTTGAGTTTGATATAGTCCCATTTGTTGATTTTTGCTTTTGTTTGTGCTATGGATATCATGTCAAAAAAAATCATTGACAGCCTTAGCTGGTTTGGCTCAGTGGATAGAGCATCAGCCTGTGGACTGGAGGGTTCCAGGTTCGATTCCAGTCCTGGGCACATGCCCATGGTTATGGGCTCGGTCCCCAGTGCGGGCCATATAGGAGGTAGCCGATCGATGATTCTTTCTCATCATTGATGTTTATCACTCTTCCTTCCTCTCTGAAATCAATAAAAGAATATAATTAACAAAAATCATTGACAAGACCATATCAGTGAGCTCCTTCCCTACATTTCCTTCTAGGAGTTTTATGGTATCAGGTTTTATGTTTAAGTCTTTGATCCATACCTCCGGTGCGGCCACAGCCTTGACTGCACAGCCTCCTTCATGGTCCCATCCACCCACCTCTGGATGCACAAATGGATGGATGTCTTGGGTGTCTTAGTCTTATCTGCAGAGGGGTTTTTGTTTGGTTATGGATGTTCAATTAATTGTAAATCAATTTGTGGAAGGGGAGAGAAAAAAGGGACATTTATGTCACCATGCTGTTGACATCACTCTGGTTGTAAAAATATTAAGAGAGATTATGTAAGTATGAGTACATTTATCCAAGGGAGACACACATGTGGAAAATGGTGTGGAAAGCAGGGCTCTGCCATTTACCTCAGTATCCCCTGTGTCCACCCAGGTCATGGCCCATAGTAGGACCTCAGCAAATGGATGTTGACTGATGGATGACATATCCCAAATTTGAGCATGGCTCACAAATATTTTTCAAATATGGAAAAGTTGTAACCTCACAATAACTTCCATCTTTCTCTCACCAAGTAAACCAACACACCACACCATTGTCACCCACGTCCATTTGATGGGGTAAGCATTGGCTCAAAGATGGAGAAAGCCCCATCATGGAAAAGAACTACATGCAGCAACCTTAGCTATGGTCTTGAAAGGGTTCTGTACCAGTCTTTTTCCATGATGCTCCAAACAGGACAGAATTCACTGCTTGGTACCCTAAAACAAACCTGGAAATTGAAATAAATTTATTACAGAAAATACTTCCTTCCACCTATACTGCATAGGTAGATGTCCTTGTCATCTTGGGCTGTACAGAAGGATGCTGTAAACTGGTGTCTTAACCACCGTTTATTTTTTTAAGTTGACTTGAAAAAGAGAAAAGGAGAGAGAGAAACATCAATAGGTTGCCTCCCATATATGCCCCACCCGGGAATTGAACCCACAACGTGGTTATGTGCCCTAACTAGTAATTGAACCTGCAACCTTTTGATTGATTCCTAAGTATCTTAATTTTTTTTGTTGCAGTGGTAAATGGGATTTATTTATTTATTTATTTATTTATTTGTTTGTTTTCTGTTTCTGAAAGTTCATTATTGATGTGTAAAAAAAAAAATCCATCGATTTCTAGATGTTGATTTTTTATCCTGCTACATTGCTGAATTCACTTATGAAACCTAGTCATTTTTTTGATGGAGTCTTTAAGGTTTTCTATGTACAATATCATGTAATTTACAAATAATGACAGTTATATTCCTCTTTTGTAATTTGGATGTCTTTTATTTTTCCTTCTTGTCTGATCACTGTGGCTAGTACTCCCAGTACTATCTTACCTAATAGACAAACATATAAATTAACTGTACCTCCGCCATGCCCACAGCCAATCAGAGTGACTACGCAGATTAACTCAACAAAGATGGTGAGCTAATTTACATATTCAGTCGCAGGAGCATCTGGGAGGAGTGGGATGCCTGCTATGGAGGGGAGGAGTGCGGTGGTGCTCCACAGAAGTGAGGACTTGTTGACTCCCGGGCAGCTGGGAGCAAAGCTAGGGGAAGGAATGCTTGTTCTTGCACGAATATCATGCAACAGCCTCTAGTGTTGAGTAAAAATGAAACTGAACAAACCTATCTTGTTCCTCTTCTTAGGGAAAACGGTTTTAGTTTTTTCCCATGGAATATGTTAGTTCTAGGTTTGTTATATATGGCCTTTATTACAATAGATAGAGGTATGATACCCTATCTTCCCACTTTGCTGACTTTTTAATCTAAAATAAATGTTGGATTTGTTGAGTGCTTCTTTCTGCATCTATAGATATGATTATGTGGTTTTTGTCTTTCAATTTGTTTATGGGATGTATCATGTTTATTGATTTGTAAATATTGTACCAGCCTTGCATCCCTGGAGTAAGTTACACTTGGTCATGGTGTATGATCTTTTTAATATGTTGCTGGATCTGATTTGCTAATATTTTGTTGAAGATTTTAGCATCTATGTTCATCAGGATTTTGGCCTGTAATTCTTTCTTTGTAGTGTGTTTATCTGGTTTTGGGTTTAGGATAATGCTATCCTTATGAAAAGAACTTAGAAGTGCTCCTTCCTCGCCAAAACTGGTTTGGCTCAGTGGATAGAGCGTCGGCCTGTGGTCCTGGGTTTGATTCCGGGTCAGGGGCATGTGCCTTGGTTGCGGGCGCATCCCCAGTGGGGGGTGTGCAGGAGGCAGCTGATCGATGTCTCTCTCATTGATGTTTCTAACTCTCTATCCCTCTCTCTTCCTCTCTGTAAAAAATTAATAATAATATATATATATATTAAAAAGTGTTCCTTCCTCTTGGATTTTAAAAAATTTTCTTTATTGATTAAGGTATTACATATATGTCCTCATCCCTCCATTAACCACCCAAACTCCCACCCCTTGGACTTTTTTGAATAATTTGAGGATAGGTGTTAGTTCTTCTTGGAATATTTGTGTGTTTTTCTTTTAAAAAATCCTTTATTGTTTAAAGTGTTACATATGAATCCTCTTTCCCCCATTGACCTCTCCCTGTTCATTCTCACCCCCTCAGCACATGCCCTCACCCCCCCCCCCCCGACTGTGCCCATGAGTTATGCCTATATGCACGCATACAAGTCCTTTGGTTGATCTCTCACACCCCTCCAGTCCTCCCCCCCCCCCCCGCCCCCCTGAGGTTAGGTGATCTGTTTGATGCTTCTATGTCTTGGGCTCTATTTTAGTTTATCAGTTTATGTTGTTCATTATATTCATTATAAGCATGTAAAACTTGTGGCCCACAACAAATATTCATTGATGATTACTCATTTATTACAACCCTTTGTATTCAGCATGTCTCTATCGAAATAAACCTATATAATAAAGGGCTAATATGCAAATAGACCATTAGTCAGACATCCCCCAACATGAGATCACATGATATTTATCTTTCTCCAACTGGCTTATTTTGCTTAGCATAATCCTCTCCAGATCCATCCATGCTATTGCAAATGATAACAGTGCCTTCTTTTTTACAGCAATGTAGTATTTCAATGGTATAGATGTACCACCATTTTTTTTTTTAACTCACTCATCAGCTGATGGTCACTTAGACTGTTTCCAAATCTTAGCTATTATAAATTGAGCTACTTTGAACATAGGGTTGCATATATCCTTTCTGATTGGTGTTTCTGGCTTCTTGGGGTATATAAGACCAAGTCACTGATTCTATACAGACCAAATCCCTGGTCTTGGAACTAGGTCCAAACCCTCCTTTTATATCAGCCAAGTCCCCAATATCTGTACAAGGCTGGTTTTCTGATTCTATAAGACTGTCTCAGGTCTTTGTACAAGGCCCAGTCCATGAATCTATACAGACCAAGTCCCAGGACTCTGTATAAGGCCCAGTCCCTGATTTTGTGCAGACTAAGTTCGTGTTCTTTGAACTGTGTCCAGTCCCTCCTTCTATAGGGACCAAGTGCCAGATCTCTGTACGAGCCACGTCCCTAATCTGTATAGCCCCATCCCCTGACCTCTGTACAGGTCCTAGTACCTCCTTCTCTATGGACCAAGGACACAGTCTCTGTAGAAAGTTCAGTCCCCGATTCTATACAGTCCCAAGTCTCCAATACCCCATACAAGGCCAAGTTCATGAATTTATTGGGCCAGTCCTTGCTTTGTACAAGACCCATTCCTAATTCTATGCAGACCAAATCCCAAATCTCCACAAGGCTCACTCCCTGTTTCTATATGGACTCTATCCTTGATCCTATATGGACCAAGCCCCTGGTCTCTATTCAAGGCCCTGTTCCTGATTATATACAGACCAAGTCCTCAATATCGGTAAAAGGCCCAGCCCCTTATTCTATATGGACCAAGTCCCCAGTCTGCACAGGGTTCAGTCCCTCATGCTAAAGGGATCTATATCAGTCTCTAGAAATCCCAGTCCCTGATTTTATACAGACCAATCCCCAGTCTCTGTACTCGTGAGGTTACTGACTCTATAGATATCAAGTCCCAAATCTGTGTACAAGGCCCAGTTCCTTATTCTGTACAGACCAACTCCTCAGTCTCTGTACAAGGCCCAGTCCCTGATTGTATATGGACTATGCCCCTGGTCTCAAAAAGGACCAGTCCCTGCGTCAATATGGACCAGGCGCCCAATCTCTGTACAAGACCCCATCTCTTATTCTACACGGACCAAGTTCCTAGTCTCTGTATGCTGCAAGCATGTAGAACTTGCGGCCCACAACAAATATTCATTAATGATTACTCTTTTATTTCAACCCTTTGTGTTCAGCATGTCTCTATCGAAATAAACCTATATAATAAAGGGCTAATATGCAAATTGACCATCAGTCAGACATCCCCCAACGGCTCTCAGACTGTGAGAGGTTATTGGGGCTGAGGGACCTTCCCCCCATCTCCCCCCCCCAAGTGCACAAATTTTGTGCATTGAGCCTCTAGTGTTTCTATGAAAATTGAAGCTTTTGTTTCTAAGGCCCACATAAACTTAAACTTTGCTTATTTGGCCGTGTTAGCTTTCAAGTTTGACATGCTTGCTGTACAGAGTGCAACCCTTTGTTCTATATGAACCAAGGTCCTTGCTCTGTGTAAGGCCAGGTCCCTGATTCTATACAGGCCAAGCCCCTGATCCCTATACAAGGCCCAGTTTCTTATTCTATATGGACCAAGTTCCTGGTCTCTTTACAAGGCCCAGTCTCGGATTCTAGGGACCAAGTCCCTGATATGTGCAGAAGGCTAACTCCCTGATTCTATGTGGACCAAATCCCCAATTTTTGTGCAAGGCCAATTTCTAATTCTATACAGACCAAGTCCCTGATCTCTGTATAAGAGCAAGTCCTTGATCTTTGTACAAGAGTGGTTTCCTTATATCTTTAAGGCTGGGTCTCTTACCCCTGTACAAACTAAGTCCTGAGCTCTGTATAATATGAGTCCCCTATCTCTATATGACCAAGTTCCTGCTCTCTATACAGACTGAGTCCCTCATCTCTGTATAGACCAAGTCCCTGCTCTTTGCACATGACTGAATCCCTGATCTGTGTATAATACTGAGCCTCTTGGATTTATTGCCTCTTGTATGTGCCCCAAGCAGGAACTGGACTCAAGACCTTTTTGTGTACAGCAGTGATTGAGTGGAAGGTATGGAACACTTCTGCTGCCTAAGAGCACAGAGATCCCCACACTGAGACGTTCAGCAACAGACACACAGCCCAGGAGGCCCAGGCATCCAGGTGCCCTGAGAAGTGCAGTGGACAGGAACGCCTTTCTCTGCCTCATCACGTACACAGTGCAGCAGCATGAAAAGAGGCACTCAGCGGTGATGATGAGAGGCAATGAGACGTATCTGTGATCTGGTGGGCCCAACACAGTGAACGGAGCAGATGACACAAACTTACATCTCAAAATTATTTCTATAATGTTTTACGCCTGCACCAGAAATACTGGGGACAACTCAAGAGCAAATTGTTAATATGATGTAGGGTGGACTTCTCCCAAATTAGGTAAAACTTTTGGAATGTATGAAATGAAATTTAAAAGATGTGTGATCAATAGAGAAATTTCAACACGTGACCAATTGTTGGACAAGAGCAGAAAAACAGTGGAGGGAAATCATTAATAAATACTACAGAGGAACCCATATTTCTCCCAGTTTAAAAAATATATATATATATATTTAATTTCAGAGAAGAAAGGGGAGGGGGAGAGAGAGAGAAGCATCAATGATAAGAATAATTGATTGGCTGCCCTCTACACGGCCCACATTAAGGATGGGAGCCCACAATATGGTCACATGTCCTGACTGGGAATCAAACCACAACCTCCTGGTTTATTGATCAATGCTCAACTACTGAGCCGCACTGACTGGCTTTTCCAGTTTTCAATGTAAGAACACTTCCTGCACATGGGACTGTACCTGCTACTCAGTCCAATGCTGAACTTGTAAGTATTTTTTCAAGTGACTCTAAAAGTGTTAGGTGAGTCTTTCTGCTCAATGCTGCCATCTCGTCCAGGTGAAGCACGCAGGAAGAAGGAAGTCAGCATCTTGTCCTGGGCTGGCTGGGAATGGAGGTTTCACAGAGTTAAGATTGAGTAGATCTGACTGGATCAAACCCCCTTTGTTTCCCCAGGCAGCTGTGGGACCTGTGGATAAAGGACAGACCTAAGATCAAGGTAGGGAGGCAAAGGAAGGATATTTTTTTCTCATAATCTCGCACAGCTTGGCAGCCAGGAAGAACCACCTTTCTCCCCATCCTCCCCATATGTTTGAAATGGTATTATGGACAGTACCTGCTTTAATTCTTCCACAATAATTGGGTCTTCACTGCTGTTGAACAGGAAAAGAAAAGTGATATTAAATGTTCTTACAATGAACAGAACAGTGACCTGATGAACAAAAGCCCATCTAAAATCTCATCTGTGTCCATATTGCAAAATATAATTCCCCATGGTAGAGTTTTGTGTTTAAAGAAACTCCATGTCACTACAACAGCCCATGAGAAAGAGAGGAGAGCTCAGTGTTGTACCTGGATCCACACGGAGACCATTTCTGGCAACACCAGACTTCCAGCAGGAAAGCCACCATTAGAACCATAATCACAGCAGACAGGCAAAGTCGGATGATGTTACCCATGGTGTAATCGGTTGATTTGGCACGGTTACCCGAGGTGTAATCGGTTGATGTGGCACCTGGGGAATCTGAAAGGGAGAAGGGAATCACTAACGTCCCTGATTCTCAGTGGATCTACTAGAGATGACCCTCACATGCCCACACGTGTCTCCTGGGCAGTGGTCAGATATACCTTTATTAAAGTTGTAATCGCTGGAATAAAAATGTGGATTTTTTTCTAGGCCAGCATGGCTCAGTGGTTGAGCATCGACCTATGAACCAGGAGGTCCTGGTTTGATTCCTGATCAACCATGCCCGGATTGTGGGCTGGATCCCCAGTGTGGAGTGTGCAGGAGACAGCTGACCAGTGATTCTCTCTAATCATTGATGTTTCTATCTTTCCCTCTCCCTTCCTCTCTGAAATCAATATATGTATATAAAATGTGGAGTTTATGAAAGTAGTGGTTCTTCCATCTTCTTTGTATTCTGTCTTTCTCCATTCATTTGCTCTTGATCTCATTTCCATTGTCCTGTATTTCCTTTCACCCTTTCCTTCCGTGTGTTAGGAATCTGTTTCAAGGCAACACAAAGAGCCAGAAATGTCCCCTCAGAGCACTGAAATTCAGCAGCTGCATCAGCATATCTCCTCATGGCACAAAACTTAGCTAGGGTGAGTTTGGTAGCTAAGCACCATGACCATGATGTATTCAGCTTCAATCACGAATGGCTCAATCTTGCCATTGGTCCTCATTCCAGTAGAGAAACCTGAATTTATATCTCCCGCCCCCCCCCCCCATCTCATTCATCCCAACTTGTGCAAAGTTCATCTCTAAATCCATCACCAACAATGTTCTCTGAAGGAAGATATGGGTAATGACCCTTCCCAGGAATCAGGGAGCTGTGGGCACCCTGAGGGGCTGGCCATACTAACCTTGATCTAATTATAAGACATTTACCAACCATATGGGAAGAATGCACAGTAGAAAGGGGTACAGAGCTGAAACATAAAATGTGTCATAGCAGGAAATGAGATAATCTCAGACAAATTTTACCAGTATGTTCTGTGAAATTACAATTTAAAAAGGCATTGCATCCATTTCCCTGAAACAAGAGGCTGTGGAACACCGCGTCCTGAGACAAAAGAGACTTGTGGGGAAGATATCGCTATCATCAAGATCAACTAAAACTTGAAGAGATGCACAGAATGGCGGAAGGAATGGTGGTGATAGCAGGGCAGGCAATTTTAAAGACCAGCAAGAAGAATTATCCAAAAATGCAGAACAGAGCAAGACAAAGGTTGGGAATTAGGAAGTGAGAATCAGATGACGACAGATCAAATGAGCAATTTCCACTTTTAAATTTTATTTTTTTAAATTACAGTTTATGTTTACTATTACTCTGTATTAGTTTTAGGTGTACAGCCGAGAGATCATACAATCATATATGTTTACAAAGTGTTCCCTCTGATATTTCCAAGATCCACCTTCCGTAAATCATAGTTATTGCAATATTAGCCATATTCCTATGCTGTACTATACATCCCAATGACTATTTTATAACTACCAATCTGTACTTCTCAATACCTTAATTTTTAAAGAAGTTCTTAAGATCTTGCAGGGAACTTACCTGCCACCGAGATAGTGAGCTGATCACTGGGCTGTGAGGCCCAGAACGGAGCCCTTGGTTGGAAGTACACACAGCTGTAGTCCCCAGTGTCCCTGCCTGTCACACTGGGAAGGGAGAAGTCTGTTTCCATTCCTATTGCATGCTGGAGCTTTATGGGTGTTGAGGTTCCCTTCTTCAGTAGAGCAAACATGTAAGAGTTCATCATATTCCTGGGCTGCTGGCACTGCAGAATCACATTTTCTCCTGCAGTCACCTCACCCCTGTGGTGGGCATGGAGGGAAGGTTTGGGAAAATTTCCTGTAAGAGAAGGAAGCTCAGATGTCATGGTCAGAAGGCTTGTTGTCCTGGCAGGTCCCCAGGGAGTGTGGGAAGTGACAGACACCTGACCTCACCCTCTTTCTGCTCTGACTTCAAGAAGGAGATGTCCCCCCCAGCAGCCCTGGGTGAAGACAGGGCCCTCAGCTCTGCTCCTGTCCTTCTGCATCTCACCTCCCCATCCACACTGGAGGGGAGACCCCTGGTCCTCTCTCATTCTCTGGATCCCCCCTCATCCCTGTCCTAGAGAGGTGGTATGTCATTCTGAGCACCGGTCCTCACCTGTCACCAGTAGGAGAAGGACGTCACTGGGCGGTGACCTTATGGTGGGGCTCTCTATGATATAGTATTCACAGGTGTACTCTCCAGCATCACTGGATTTTAGGTCAGTGAGGTGAAACTCTGCTAGGCCCTCTGGGTAATCGGGAGATGGCGAGATCTCCAAAGCATCATTGTTCTTTCTGAAAGTAAACCTGACCTCCCGGATAGGAGTGGAGCATCGCAGTGTCACATCACTATTGGCAGGAAGCACCCAGCTGGGCCAGGCCTGGATGGAGGGCCTGGGAAGTGACTCTGGAAGGAAGCAGAGCCCAGGCTGGACTTGATTCACTCACCTGCTCTTCTGAAGAAAGAGGTGGGTGAGGGGATTTGGAGCGAAGGAGAAGGAAGGCTTTCCTTTAGAAACACTCACCATCTCTTCTTGGGTCGTGGCCAGCACACAGCCCTGCAAAGTAACCATCATGAGACAGAAGCTCCTGCCTGGAGCCCACGTCATCACTCGGCCCTGATGGCTGAGGGACTCTCTCAGGGGCTGGTGATGGCAGCCAGGCATTTGGGATTTCTCCCTTTCCCCACAGTAGACTCTGCTCTGCAGTGTGGGATGCGGGCCACAGGTGCTCTGTGGGATGATGTCAGCTGAGCCAATGACAGTATTCTATGGCCCTGGTTATGGCATCACACAGTTAGGGCTCCCTTTAAGATCACACTAAGCCCTTTTTGTTGTTGTTAATTCTCACCTGAGGATATTTTTTCCATTGCTTTTCAGAGACAGTGGGAAGGAAAGAGAGTGAGACAGACAAACATCTAAGTGAGAGGCACATCGCCTGGTTGCCTCCCACATGCACCCCTACTGGAGGGCCAGAAGCTAACCCGCAACACAGGAACCTGCCTTTGACAGAGAATCGAACTGCAACCCTTTGGTGCTCAGGCCAATGCTGTAACCACTGAGACCACACCCACCAGGGCTAAGCCCCTTTGTTCACATCAAGGAGGAAAGTTTAGCATTTGGTATCACACCTCTGTCACTGACTCTAAAACAGTGTTCCTCCATGGGCTCACACTTGACATGAACAACAAAGACTAGAATTCTCAACATTTCCCACCTCTCCGTATTATTACTTTTTAGAGTAACTTTTCTTTTTTTTGGTAAGTGACTGTATTATTAGTTACAGTCTTGCTACATTATTTCAACTAAGTACATTGATTTGAAGAGAAAGAGTTGACTCAGGGCCAATGGTTATTAATCACAGCAAGGTGTAGGCATGGAGCATCATCATGACTGTGGAACACTCATTCCCATCCTGAGAAACACATGATTCATAAGTGGCCATAAAGCCTGCAGCCTGGGTCTCGACGTGTGAAGCAATCAATAAATAGAAGGCAGGGTGTCATACTTCCGAGGAGAAACCAAGATGGCGGCATAGGGTAGACATCTAAATGCAGCCTACCACAACAATTTTAAATTTACAACTGGAAAACGGAGGAAATATTGCCCTGAAACACCAGACAGCTGGCTGAGCTGAAGCTCTACCATCTAGGAAGGTAAGAGAAGGGACACTGAGCCTCAGGAACTGTGCAGGTGCGAAGATCTGTGTGTGCAAAAAAGAGGGCCGCCGAATTCGCTGCTGACTTACTCCCGGTGCACAGAGAGGGTGGACAGCTAAAGTGTGCGGCTGGCTTTCTTGTTCAGGAGGAAAACAGAACCACCCTATTGCTCTGATAGACAGCCCCAGTCAGGGAGAGGCCGGACTGTCAGGCAGTGGGCAAAGCTTTCTCGGCAGCAGCCATTACTGCGGGACTCAGGAACCAAACCCTCTTAGGGAGGGGCTGACAGGAAACCAAAGCTTGTCTGCACCACTCCAAGACTCCGCCCCATCCAAGAGGAGTACAGAAGCCCTTCCAGTGGTAGCTTTCTTGCTCGGGAGAAAAACACAAAACTCCCAACTGCATTGAGAGACAACTCTGCACCGGGGAAAAACTGGCTGTCAGAGACCAAAACTTGAGAACAACATTTTCCCCAAGAGGTGTGTGCGCCAATCTTGCGGGACTTGCTGCGAATAGGACTTTCCTAAGGCGGAACTGACGGGGAACCAAAGCTTGTCTCCACCACCCTGAGACTCCGCCCCATCCAAGCTGAGCACAGAAGCCTTCCTAGCTGAGACACTGCTGATCCTCACAGCCAATCAGCTTGGAGATCAACGCACCTCAGTGATACCAAAAACAAGCAAGGCTTAACAACAGACTGCACACACAGCTCATTAAGGGCTACACCAAGACTGTCCACCTCAGGTAACTGGAAAGGCTGTGCTACTGGGCTCTACCAGGACACCTAGCATGCAAAACTATTCCATCAAATCAGGAAAGCAGCTAAATTGCAGAGAAGAGGCAGGACACAAAGGAAGGAAATGGATAAAAGTAAAAGAATGGACATTGAGTTCAAAACCACAGTTATAAGGTTTTTCAAGAATTTCCTAGAAAAGGCTGATAAAATAAACGAGACCTTTGAGGATATGAAAAGGGATCAACTAGAAATAAAGAATACATTGTCTAAAATAAAAAAAATATTATACAGAGTCCTAAAAACAGACTGGAAGATCGCAAGAATCAAGTAAAAGATTTGGAACATAAAGAGCCAGAGGACACTCTTCCACAGAAACAAGAAGAGAAGAAATTCCAGAGAGTTGAAGATAGTGTAAGAAACCAAGAAACCTCGCTTGAAACAACTTCAAGCGAACCAACATCAGAATTATGGTGGTCCCAGAAGAAGAGAGAGAGCAAGACACCGAAAACATGTTGGAAGAAATACAATAGTGACAGAAAACTTCCCTCACCTTGGGAAAGAAATAGATTTACAAGTCCAGGAAGTGCACAGAACCCCAAACAAAAGGAATTCAAAGAGGACCACACCAAGACACATCAGAATTAAAATTCCAAGAGCAAAAGACAGAATATTAAAAGCAGCAAGAGCAAAGCAGGTAGTTACCTATAAAGGAGCACACATACAATTGTCAGCTGATTTCTCAACAGAAACCATGCAGGCCAGACAGGAATGGGAAGAAATATTCAAGGTGATGGGTAGCAAGAACTTACAGCCAAAAATATTCTACCCAGCAAAGCTATCACTCAGAATCAAAGGCTAGATAAAGAGCTTCACAAAAAAAAAAAAAATCTAAAGTTCATCACCGCCAAACCAGAATTATAATTATATGAATTGCTGAATGGGGTTCTTTAAAAAGAGGCAGAAGATAAACATTAAAATTATTAACAACAAATACATAACTTTCAACAAGTGAATCTAAAAACCAAGAGAATTAAAAAACCTGATGACCAATATTAACTGTTGAATACAACAGAACCAGAGTTATGGAAGGGAGTGGACTGACTACTCTCGGGGAAAAGGGGAGTGGGGGGCTGTGGGAAGAGACTGAACACAAACTGTGCATCTATGGATGAGGACAATGGGGGTGGGGGTGGGGAAAGGTCAGAGGGTGGGGTGGGAACCTGGTGGAGGGGAGCAATGGAGGGAGAAAAAAAAAGAGGAACATTTGTAATAATCTGAACAATAAAGATTTATTTTTTTAAAAATAAATAAACAGAAGGCAGTGTTATTCCTGTTGTATTCTCTACATTTTTCAGTCAGTCCACCCTTGTCTCAAATCCCAGTATACCAATCCTAAGAAACTTACCAAATAAGAGGAGAGAGAGGAATCCAGCCAGCATACTGAGCCTGCCGCTGGATTCAAGGACTCGTTTTCAGTTTAAAACCGCAGGAGGAAGGAAAGCTTGATGTGGGTGGTGGCACCTTTGCTCCAGCCCATTTCTTCCTTCCCTTCATGTAACTCACAGGTTTGATGTTGCAAGCACATTCTTTTTTTTAATTTTTTATTTTTATTATTTTAAAACATACATTTTATTGATTTTTCACAGAGAGGAAGGGAGAGGGACAGAGAATTAGAAACATCGATGAGAGAGAATCACCGACCAGCCGCCTCCTGCACACCCACTTCTGGGGATGTGCCCACACCAAGGAACATGCCCCTGACCGGAATCGAACCCAGGATCCCCCAGTCCACAGGCTGACGCTCCATCCACTGAGCCAAACTGGTCTTGGCACATTCATTATTTTAAATTGTTAATCTTCACCCAAGATTATTTTCCCATTGATTTTTAGAGTGGAAGGGAGTGGGAAGGGAAGAGAGAGAGGGGAGAAAGAAGCATCAATGTGAGAGAGACACATGGACTAGTTGCCTCCCCCCTCCAGGCCCTGAGGGGGCCATGATCCAACCGGCAGACCAGGTACCTTCCCTTGACCAGGAATCAAACCATGACCCTTTGTTGTATGGCTGGTGGCTGGTGCTCTAACTTCTGAAATGAAATCACAATCTTGAAATGAAGCCAGGCACTGTCACATGGAACATTCTGAAAATGACGATATTTTGCAGATAGAGAAGAAATCGTTGGTTACCAGAGTTGAAGAATGGTGTTAGGAAGAGAGGTGGGTGTGATTGTAAAGAGATAGCATGAGGAAAAAACAAAAGAGAGAGAGAGAGATAACATGAGGGACATCTTCATGGTGATGGTCTAGATCAGTGGTCGGCAAACGACGGCTCGTGGGCCACATACGGCTCTTTGGCCCCTTGGGTGTGGCTCTTCCACAAAATACCGCGGCCTGGGCAAGTCTATTTTGAAGAAGTGGTGTTAGAAGAAGTTTAAGTATAAAAAATATGGCTCTCAAAAGAAATTTCAATCATTGAACTGTTGATATTTGGCTCTGAGGACTAATGAGTTTGCTGACCACTGGTCTAGATCACACGAATCTGAACTTATGAGAAAAAGAGAACTATGCACACACATTGTATTCACGTCAACTCCTTCTTTTTTTATTGTAATGCGTGAGTAATGGGACCATTGGAAATCAAGCGAAGAAATCTGCTATTTTTGGAACTTCCTATGAATCTAGACTTATACTTCCAAATAGACACACAGTTGGAACTGTGTGAAGAGGAAAAACACAATCTAAACTAAACACGCACAGTCACCCACTGGGAAGTGGGAGCCTTGCTAAAGCGATTCCCTGTGAGGCCAGGGTGGAGACTGAGCAGAGGTGTTGGGAGAGTGAGCACCCACTGTCTTCGATGCCCCCCCCCCCATCCTGTCTGTGAATGCAGACTTCTGGTTATTTTACTGCACATGACCAGAGAGTAACCACGGTGTTTATACGAGGCATGAGCTTTAATAATTGAGTGGGAGACACAGAAACCTTCTCCCGATGCCTGAGGTGTCCTAGAGCCCACAGTGAGAAGTTCAGAGCAGGTGCGCAGCCCAGGAGTCCCGGTCATGCCAGCACCCCGAGAAGTGCAATGGGCAGACCCCCCAGTCCCCTACTTCTTCATACAGCACAGCGGCCATGAGGAGGGACCCGGCTGTAATGAAGGGGAAAGAAGGTGTATCATCCATGATCTGGTGGGCCCAGCGCAGTGAAGGGAGCAGGGAAGCCAGTAACTTCTGTCTCCAAATTACTTTTATTGTCATCAGAATGTGATTTTCAGGGCTTATCTCTAGAGTTATGAGAGAGGAGATAATAGTTCTAAAACAAGAGTGAGCATTTATGGAAAAGAACAAGATAGCCAACAAGAAACAACAGGTCTTGAGCTTGAGAATGTAATTGATGACATTTTAAATCTGCACCAGGAATACTGGGGACAAACTCAAGAGCAAATTGATATGATAATATAGCCTGGAATTCTCCCATATAGGGTAAAATGATGAGAGAGTATGAAATAAACTTTGAAAGACTTAATAAACACAGCAATTTCAACATTTGATCAACTGCTGATCAGAGCAGAAGACAGAGCAGAGGGGAAGCACTCATAAATACTGTATAGGAACCCATCTTTCCCCCGTTTTCAAAGAAGACCAGTTCTTGCATGTGAAATAACTTGCTACCCAATCAGATGCTGACGTTTTAGGAAGTTTTCAAGTCATCCAAGTGTGGGAGGTGAGGCCACTCCGTCCTGCCATCAGGCCCAGGGGAAGCGCAGGAGGAAGGAGGTCAACGTCTCGTCCTTGGCTGGCCGGGGACGGAGGTTTCCCAGAGCCCTTAGGTCTCAGCAGGTCCTGCTGGATGGGGTATTCATCCTCCTCTCCCAACGCCAGGACCCAGGGGCACCTGAGGGGAGAGGAGGTTGGACCTGGGATCCAGGCAGCAACCAAAAGGAAGAATATTGAGTCTCAGCCTCCACACACAGGTTCCCTGCCAGGAAGAACCAGCCCTTCTCCCAGCCTCTCCACATAGGCACGTTTCCATGGGGATATGGACAGTACCTGCTCCTCTGCTGCTCCCACAAGGACTGGCACTTTAGTAGCTGTTTGAAAGGAAAGGAGAAGAGATGCTAAATGTTCTTACAGTGACCAGAACGGCCACACCAGGTGAAGAGAAGCCCATCTGTGCCCCAATGCGGGACATAAACCCAGTGGGTGGCCTTGGAGGGGAACCTCATATCAAGCCAGCAGCCCACGAGAGAGAGAGAGAGAGAGAGGTGTTCAGGCTTTTACCTGGATCCCCACGGGGACACCCCCTCTGGCTCCACCAGGCCTCCACCAGGAAGGCCACCATGAGCACCGCGATGAAGGCGGACAGTCCCAGCCGGATGAGGTTACCCGTGGTGTAGTCTGTTGATGTGGCACCGGGGGAATCTGAAAGGGAGAGGAGGACCACCATGATGTCCCTGCTTCTCAATGGTGGAGCAGAGGTGACCCTCCCGGACTCACGGGTGTGTCCCGGGCAGTGCTCAGTTGTACTAGGTTTGTTAACAGTTCTGATCATGGAAACAACAGGCGGAGCGCTATGAGAGTTGTAGTAGTGCTTCATCTTTTTTATATTTTCTCAGTCTTACCTCTCTTCCTTCTTTTATTTGCTTTCACCTCATTTGCACCTTCCTGCATTTCCTTTCTCCTTCTCCCTCCTTTTGTTAGGAATCTATGTGCATGCATCACAGAGAATCACTGAAATTCAGCAGCTGCATCAGCATCAGTCCTCACAGCATAGAACGCAGCCAGCAGCGAGCTCAGGTGAACTTAGCAGCCAAGCACCATGACTGTCCTGTGTTAAGCTGCAGTCACCAGTGGCTCAGTCTTGCCACTGGTCCTCGATCCTGAAGAGCAGCCTGCATTTATATCCCCCATCTCGCTCATCCCAGCTCGTGCAAAGGTGACCTCTCAACCCACCAGCACCCATGTTCCCTGCAGGCAGAGTCCATGGGGGAAATGGGTAACAACCCTTCTTCCCAGGAATCAGGGAGCTGTGGGCACCTCGCAGGGCTGGCCATACGGACCTTGATCTAATTGTAAGACATTTGCTGACCACTTTAGAAGATCCACCAACAGGATGTGCAGCATACAGAGCTAAAGCACAGTGTGCCACAGCAGGAAACGAGGTAACCACAGATTATTCCGCCATGAGTATCAGGGGATTAAAAACAAACAACAACAACAACATTGCATCCATCACCATCAAGCAGGAGGCTGTGGAATGCCACATTCTGAGAACAAAAGAGAGTTCAGCGTAATTCCTTTGATAAAAGCATCCAAAGTTTATGAGATGCAGAGAGTGGTGGGAGGAATGGTGGTAAGGACAGGCCTGGTAATTCTGAAGAACAGCATGAGAAATTAAGAATTCAGAACAAAGAAGGGCGAAGAAGTGGAAATTAGGAAGTGAGAGGCAGAAGATGACAGATCCCTTTTTAAAGTTCTTTTGTTATATAATTTTTTAATTGATTTTGGTGAGGAAGGGAAAGAGCTACAGGGAGGGGTAGGCACATGAATGAGAAGAGAGAACCATTGCTCAGGCGCCTTCCACAAGCCCTCTGCTGGGGATCGGACCACAACCCAGGCACACGGCCCAAATCTGCCTTTCTCATTTCTCATTAACTACTTATCATCTTACCATTTCTCTTAGGGTCTGTGTTATGTTTTCTAGATCCCTCGGAGTTGTGTGGGAGACTGTAATCATGAGAAAGATCAGGGAAGCTTGGTGACAGTGTAACCCTGTCTTCACTCTTGATTATCTGAAGCCTTAAGTAGGCTTAAGTCTCCCGACAGTTTCATCTGTAAGGTCTACCAGTGGCCTGGGTAACATAAATTAGGTCATAGCCATTTGCTTGCAGTTTTTAAGAGAGTTCATGAGAGACAATGGACTTCATACCTTGGGGGACACGAGCAGCTGGAAGGAAGGACCTCTGTGCTGGTCATTACGTTATTCCCAGTGTTCCTCAGGTCCTGGCCCATAGTAGGACCTCTATGAAAGCACATTGACTGACTGATGAGATCCACCAGTGTAAGTACATAGTATAGATGTGCACCCTATGTTCATTGTAGCATTTTGTTTGTTGTTGTTTTTTTAAATATATTTCATTGATTCTTTTTACAGAGAGGGAGGGGGTAGAAAGTTAGAAACATCGATGAGAGAGAAACATCCATCAACTGCCTCCTGCACACCTCCTACTGGGGATGTGCCCGCAACCCAGGTACATGCCCTTGACTGGACTCAAACCTGGGACTTTTCAGGTTTCTGCTGTAGCATCATTTTTCACAAGAATGTGAAAAAATGCCAACTTGCCTGACTGGCGTGCCTCAGTGGTTGAGCATCGACTTATGAACCAGGAGGTCACAGTTGGATTCCCGACCAGGGCACATGCGGGTAAAGGGAGGATAAAGGTGATGGGAGGAGACTTGACTTGTGGTGATAAACATAAAATAAAGTATACAGATTATTATAGAACTAGAGGCCCAGTGCACCCTCTGCCTGGCCAGCCTCCTCTCACAGTCC